ACAACAGCACGGACAAATGTTAGTTCGAGACCAGTTACATTACTTGCAAAAAAAGTTTTACCAAAAAAAATTGAACGAAATATTTCTCGTCCTTCAGGCGAAGAAAATTATAAACCAATGCAAATAAATAATGCAAATAATTTAAAAATAGTACGTTTAGATAATCATCGTAAATCGTCGCCTATTCGTGTAACAATAACAAGTAAATTAAATCCAGATGCTACACCTTTCTTTGCTCCACAACCACAACGTCGTATGTCTGCAAATCAAAATCAATTTCAACCACATCCTCAAAATATTATTCCGCCTAATCAATCAAAAACTTATCATCATTCTCACCAACGATTTATTCCACCACGACAAATGGCATTGAAAAAAAGATTTAGTAATCAATCATTATCACCATCACATCTTCAACAACACAATAAATATAAAACAGGAAGTTATGAACACATACCACGTGAATACACTTCTTTTTTACTTTTTAATAAGTTCTCTTTCTTTTCTTTTTCGTTTAGAATTAATGCAACAAGTATCCACACCACCATCACCAATGACAGATGAATTCTCAGCACCACCATTCAGAAGAGAACGTTTATCAATACCAAATTATACTCATTTACGTCGATCACCTGTTAAACTTCATGTGACTAATAGTTTACCTTATCAACATCAAAACTCGGGAGATCAAAATCAATTACAAATACCATTATCATATGGAGAACCGATTGGTTCTCGTCGTGGACAACGTACTATTTCTGGTACAAGTAGTTGTAGTAGCATGAGTACGGATATTGGTCCTCATTCAATTGTTCAACTTGATTCAACACCAAATGTATTAATATCAAACGATGGTCAATATGATTTTGAAAAAGCTAATGAAGAATTTCGTCGTTATTTAGAATTGGAAGAATTAGTTACACGACGTGCCTCCTCTGCTTGTTCAACTGGATCACAACATCTAGATGATAATTCTCATCAACAATTATCTCAAAGTCATTCGTATAAAAAAGAAGTTTCATTTTTTGATCGTATTTCATGTACAGCTACAACTGGTACAGCTGTTGCTTATACTGAAATGGATGAAGTTGAAAAAAATCTCGAAACATTCGGTGATGATGCTCTTCTTATCAGTACAAATTCTAATGATAAGGAATGGCAACTCTAAGCAAAGACATTTATTTATTTATTCTACCGCCTTTTCGTTTGTACATTTTGTTCAGTTATTCTATAACACACCACATATATACTCTCTTCTCTATACACACAAACATACACAACAATTTTCCTCTTCCTTATTCTTGAAATTTTACAATAAAAACACTACGATGACGTTTATTTTTTTTATTCTGTTGGCATTTGTTATTTCATCAGTATTGCGAAAATTTTTCTTTTTTTTTTATATGAATTATATAAACACACAGAAATCGATTTCTTTTCTATATTAAATAGATGGCTACAACAACAACAGAATTTGTTCCGTTAAGAATTGGTATTGATTTTGGTGGTGTACTTGCTATTCATGATAAAACTCGTGTATCAGAAGATGATGAACATCAATCCGTAGAAATTAATATGCCAGATGCAATGACTAGTTTAATTAAACTTAAAGAATCAGGTCATAAACTTTATTTAATTTCATATTGTGGTGAAAGACGTGCAAGAGAAACAAAACGTAGTCTTTCAAAAATACTTCCAACAAAAGATTTTTTTGATGGAGTTTATTTTACACAACGAACATCGAATAAAGTTGATGTATGTCGTGCAACTGGTTGTGATATTATGATTGAAGATCGATTGAAAACTTTAAAACATATTCATACAATAATACCAACAATGAAACTTATATGGTTTACTTCAACTGATGATAGTCAACCTCCAGATATGATCAAGGTCGAATCATGGAATGATATAATGAAAACAATCGATGATGTACTTATTCATGAAGAAATTCGACATCAACCTGATAAACGTGCTGTATTAGATGATAAAATACATATTGTTTAAACGAGCAGAGAATATAAATTTTGTTGCTTTTAATATATAAATAAAATCCATGTTTTTTTTCTCTTCTTGTTACACAGTCATTGACACGATACATTTGCGGTCACGGATGTATGAGCATGCGGGGAAAAAAAAGGCAAACCTAACTAGAACAAAACTTAATAGTATATAATATTCATCACGATTCGTAGACGTTTTTTTGCTTATTATATAGTTTTATAATGACTATGTTATTATCGGTATATTCTATTGGAATTTTCTTAATAGTATTTATATTAACAACTGAATCTGCTTATAATGTTTTTACATATGATGGTGATGATGAACATTGTTGTCTTGTGCAAATAAATAGAGATTTCTGTTGGGCAAAACCACTTACACGTAGTTTAATTCAAGTAAATAAACGTTGTCAACCAATAGATTTAAATGAAAAACCAAGAAATTATTTAAATAAAGTTATACGTCGTTTAAATGTTGAAACATCAACAAAACTTGGTGATAAAATACTTATTGAATTAGAAAAACCATTGGATGAAGATATACTTAAAAATAATCTTTTATGTTTAACACCGGATAATAATAATAATATTAATTTAGATAAATGTCATATTGTATTAGCTAATCTTGAATCAAAAAAACGTAATAAGAATATTTTTAATACTTTATCTGAAAATCTATTTTTTAATTATAGGACGAAAAACTAAAAAAACAACAATAGAATCAATTGCTGAAGAACAATCTGATATTGAATTAACTGAGCCAATAAAAATTTCTCAAGGTCATGGTGTGTCTGTTTTTCAATCTTATGAATTAGATCTAACTGATTATAAACCAACTACTCGTCAACATCGTCGGGCATGGTCATGGTATCGTACGCAAACGAAAAAAATGTGTAGTCAACCATTAAAATATAAGAAAAATTGTATTCGTATAAATCGTCATAATAAAAAATATGTTGAACATCTATTAAATCAAACAACTAATAATAACAATGATGATGATGAACAACAATCGACATATAAGATTACAAAAGGATCGAAATTATATTGTGAAAATAATCACGAACAAACAAAACTTATTGGTTTTTATGATGATAGTAAAATATGTTTTGAAAAAAATAATCAATTATATATTAAACATGATTTTACTGATTATGTTAGTTTATCTGATAGAAAGAAAAATATGGATATACTTCAATTTATCGCAAACAATACAAAATTAACAGATGAATTTGAACATGATTGTGACGATAAAATAACATTAGCTGATATACAAAAATCATCAGAAGAAGAAGCTGAAGCTGAAGCCGAAGCTGATTTAAATGATAATCCATCAACTTAAGAAGAAGGAAATAATTAAAAAAAACTGTTGACTTCAATGTTTTTTTTTCTCTCTTTTTTTAAGATCATTTTAACTAAAATAAAATTAGTAGCAGGATTAGTAGTATTAAAACAAAAAAATACAAAGTTTATATTTCGTCATTTTTGTTTCTCACAGAATCATAGTTGTTGAAGTGATCAGAAGAAGATATATAGATAACGAGAATCGAATTGATGACGATGATGATGCTAAATAAAGTAATAAATTCATTTACAAAGACGTCACGTTGCTAATTTCGCTTTTTCTTTATACTCGATAATTTTTATCATATACATACGTCTATCAGCTGAATGATAAAGAAAGGAATCAATGATGCAAATACACATTAATCGAAATATAAAATATTGCCTGATTAGCTTTTTTTCCTTGACGGAATTAACAATAAACGATAATACTTATCTATTGATTTCTATAATCATAATATATCGTTTAGCTGATAAACTATCGTTGCTATTTAAAGCTGTCATCTGACAAATTAATTGAATTTTATCGTATAAATTACTTACCAGGACAGGGTACTTGATCAGCAGTTGTACATTTACCTAAATTTCTATTAAAACGTTGACCATGTGTACAACGACTATAATTAGCTACACGATAATCTAAACATTGTATATAAGATTGACAATTTGCTTTTGTTCGATCAAGATAAAATCCATCGCTATGACCTATACATGATGGACTAGATTCACATGAATTTTTTCCATTATCATGATTAGATAAATAATGACCTAAAAATTTGAAATATTAATTAAAAAAAATTTTATTTTTTTCGAATTACATTTATTTAAACATTGTCGTCGTCCAGCACATTTAACTTTTTTATATAGTAAACATTTACGCGTTTGTATATCGAATAAATTCGGATATGAACATGTATGTGAAACTAACTTATTTGACATACATTCATAAAAATGACAACAACTCATTGGATCAACAAAGCGAGCACCTTCATTTTTCATTGTACATTTATTTTTACCTATTTAAATAGATTTTGGTTTTTTTTCTATAGAAAATTATTTTCTTACATTGAACATTATGCGGATGATCACATTTTTGTTTTTCAGGATTATATTGTAATTGTGCTGGACAATATGATATAAGATCAGTACCTTGATAACAATCATGATAGATTGAACAATCGTATGGATCTGGTAGACGTAATGATTTAGTTGAAGAACATACAGATGACGATGATGATGGGGGATTTGTTGGGATATATACGGGAGGATAAATTGTATCTCGAGATACTCCATTGTTTGTTGGTGCAATTAAAGGTGATGGAGTTGGAATTTTCACCGGACCTGAAGTTACCAAGAAAAAAATAAATACATAAATTTAAATCGACAAAATTTACAATCGGATTGAGCAGGCCAAACACACATTTTTTCAGCTTGTGACCATAGTAGACTTTTTTTACATATTTTAGTTTGTGGTACACCTGAAACATATATATATATTTATTTAAAAGTGTGCAAATAGATTAAAATTTTAATTTCTTGTTTAATTATCTACCTAAAAAATATCACATATTCTAAGTCTATCCGAATTTGTGCAATTGAACTAGAAGACATAACACTCGACATCAGTGGCGGATCTAGAATTTTGGAAGGGGGGGGGGCGATTTTGGCTAAAAGTTATTTTTTGAGTCCAATTGAAGTAGTGTGAAACTACTTTTTTGTCCATTTTTGCTGTAAAAAAACAAAAAAAAATTTGGAAGGGGGGGCGATCACCCCCCCCCTAAATCCGCCACTGCTCAACATGTGATAAATTCAAGGAGTGAAAAGTAAATCCGAAATTATTGCACAAAATCTCGAATCTATTTTTTTTGCAAGTAAAAAAATCCCTATCTTATTTTCTTTTCTTTACATGTCATTGATAAATCTAATTATAATGTTATACATGATCTATAAAAATTTTTCTCTCATCCCTTACAAATAAACTTGTGTTAATAGAACTTTTTATCGTCTTGCCATTGATCAATATTTTCTATGTCAATACTAATCGTAGTGATTGAATCGACTAGACTTACTTTTCTTTAGTAAACAAAAATGATATGAACTGTTCTCTCGTAGTTTAATTGTATAAAATGTACTATTCGATGTCACGTTTTTCTTTTTTTTCTCTTACCGTTTGCACAATAAGCATATTGTTTACAATCTGTTGGATGTGCAACATAACCAATATCAACTGATCGACATAAATCATCAAAAATTGATTCACTTGGTAAATTATTAGTACCAACAATATCTATTTTGAAAAATAAATTTCAATCTTTTTTTTTCGATTAAATCTTACCTGATGGACGAACTACATTTTGTGTTGATACTGTAGATGAAACATTATTTCCGGGAGATGTATGAGTACAATTAACCTAGGAGATTTTTAATTTTATACAAAATAAATGATAGGAATTAATTTACGTTCATAGCCCAATCACATTCATTTTTATTTGGATTGAATAAAAGATCATCTTTACAAGCTTTTACTGAATGTGTTGCACCAACACAGATATGATAAATCCAACAATCATGTTTATCTGGAAAAAAACCATCTTTTTCACATTTAAAATTTTGAGCTAAAGCCGTTTGAAGAATAAGAATAAAATGAAGAACTACAAATTATATATTTTTTTTTAATTCGAACAAATATCAATGAATAAACTTACAAATAATTAACGAATAAAATAAACGTTTTTTTGACATGGTAATATCATTGTGAACATTGTTCTAATAACATTGTTATTCGTTTTGTATTAAATCATTTTTACTAAATTATTTACTGCACAATAGATGCATCAAATGTGCGTGTATTCTTTCTATGAACGAAAGAAACAACGATGAGAGAAAAAGAAAAAGTTATACAAATAAATGTTAATACTCGAGAAGAGAGAAGAACAAGAGTAATGACCAAAAGAATGAAGCGACCTCGAAAGAAAAGGTGATAGTACACCTGATTAATAGAGGATATTGATCAATGATATTGAAAGTAATCTTTTGTTTCTTGTATACATATTGAATTGAAAGAAGAAGAAAAAAAAAACATCTGTTATAAAGAGCATTCATTTTTGATTGAAATAAATGACATTTTCACAAAAAAAAGAGTTACATCTATCTGTGATAAAATCCAAAAAAAAATTTAGGTCAATTCTTTTATCCTTCCTAGAAAGAAAATTTAACAAATACATATCGATAGAAAGTGTGACAAATTTCTTCTTTTTTTTTTTCTCCTCTCAACATTGATTAAATACTATATGAAGACAAGTGTATGATTAGTCAAAGGTCGATTACGTAAAGTTTTCTTTTAGATATATAATCACTTATACATGTATTTGTCCTCTTTATGTCATCTCAAACACATTGTATTATTATAACAATGAGAATCAAAATTCTTTAGTTTAGACGATGAATATTAGAGTTAGATGATAAATTTTATTATCAAAATATTCTATCGATTGATTGTATCATTTTTATAGTTGAAAATTTAAAAAGGATTTCACACTTTTATCAATCGCTAAGAGCATACTCCTGTTAAAATAATAAATATCGAGTATTGTCGTCAAACATATTAGTCTTTTTTAAAGAGAAGAAAATTTATTTGTAAACGAATTTAAATAGAAAATAATTTATTATAAATTAAATCAATTGTATCACGTGCAGTCATGGCTTTTACAAGACGTTTTAATAAAATATCATTATCAGATACATCAGAAGACATATTATTCGTCGTAGTCGGTTGATTTGAATGCGATAATATACTATTTCCTAATAATGTACTTGTTAAACGCTGTTCACATACATAACTAGCTGGTGTAATTACATTTCGAGATCGTTTTGATAATGGTTCTTTTACTTCAGTTGATTCTGAATTAATCATTAAACTTGATAATATTGTTAAATTTGTCACTGGATCAGTCACAACCTAAATTTTAAAGTTGTAAATAAAAATATATATCGAGTAATTTATACCTCATTATGATTTAACCATTGATCAGATGAATAATCATGTGATATCATAGTTGATGTTATAATTTGTCGAACAAGCATCTCTTTAATTTGTTCTACATTATCATTAGGCTATTATAAAAGTTATTATTTTTTTTTATTTAATCAATTTAATATCTTACTTGTTTTAACCAGCTATTTACTGAAATAGTAATAGAATCAATCGATGAAACAAAATGCCACCAATGTTTTGGTACAAATAAAACATCACCAGGTTCAAGCGTAATATCATAAACATCAATATTCTATAAAAAATTTAATTTCGAAGAAACAACAAAGAAAAACAACTTACATGGAATTTATCTAAAATCATTGGTTCAATATCGAGATATACACTTGATTCTTCATATGGTATACGTGTTTGTAATTGACTTATTGGACTGTCCGGTGGAAATAGTAACCATCGTTTTCTAAATTTCAATTCTATAATATTTTTAATCCTTATTCAATATTATATGTATATATACCGTCCGACAATTTGAGCAACAAAATTGATTCCATATGTATCATAATGACATGGTGTATGAGATCCTTGTGAACCTATCCATAATGTTGATTCTTTTCCACAACGATCTTTCAAACCCATATCTGACCAATTAATCATCTTAAAAAATATTCGTAGATTCTATGTTTTTATAATCAATAAACATACATCTATTAACGGATGTTGATCGTTACCAAATAATTCAGGTAAATGCATATAATCAGCATAGGCGAAATATTCTTTATTCGGATATTGACTGAATGGATGATTATTGGATAAAGAATCATTATCTGTTGAAGTCGTCCAACTAAGAAAACTATCGACAGTCGATTGAATATGAATACAATCTTTTTCAAATTGAACACGATCACCTAGAATGAATAATTCAAGTATATTTTAACAAGTTCCTTTTCTTACTATCGATCTAGTAAATATCATTAACATTCACATGACTTAATAATAACCTTGTTATGTTTATCAACTCAATCCAATGCAAAATTATAATGTAGTGATAAATATTTTTCAAAGACTTTGCCTTATCTAATTCACATTTTTTGCATAGATCAAAATCCTACGGTTTATATTATTTTTATGTGTAAAATAATTAATATTTGATAACAATCTCTCATTAAGGAAACATTTTTTTTGCATAAATAATTAAAACTTTAGTTTTGTGTTCATTCAAGCATATCTCATACGAGAAAAACAATAATATCTTATACGAAATCATCGATCTTCAAGAAAAAAATCAAGTACCGAAAAATGATTTTTGTCGTTTGCCAATTCGAAATGATAATAATTTTTGATTAAATATATCAGCTAAATATTTTCCATCTGTCCATGAATTTCTATCACGGATAATTGTCGCACCCTTGAATATATATGGTACATTCCAATGTGTTTCAGCTATCATTTTAATACAATCTAAATACATATGAATATCTATTTATGTTCTTTCTTTTTTTTTGAAAAATTAAATTTTATTATTATTGTACATCATTCGATAATTAAAAACTCACAGATGTTCATTTATATTTTTTAATATCTTTTTTTTTTATATTTCTGTACGCTCTGTTGCGTTCTGTTCTATCTATATATATATATATACATTCAGATATAAACAGGTATGAATTAGAGATAGTTGTTCGTCTTCGTTGACATTCACTCTTTTTTGCTCTCTATTTTCAAGGTAAAGTTGTACGAACGATATTTCTTCTATCATTTTCAAAATTAACTACACATTATAATCAAATATCAATGAACGTCATTGACAAGCACATCAAAAGTGGAAGATAGAGAACGAAACATTTAGTAATATTTCACCGTTACAATTGAAAAGACAAACATTAGATTATTTGGTTATTAATTTTTCGTCGATATAATATATTTATACATTAAGAAGCATGGGCAATCGGGTAAGATCAAAATAGAAAGAAAGATAAACGACATTCAATCTATTGATTTATTTATTTGTCCTTGATAATTACAAACACATAGTTAACATCAAGGAAAAAAAAGAAAAGATATACAGACATATATATATATATTTATATAACAATGCTACTCAAACTCTCCATTATCATGTTCATTTTCTTCTGATGCTTCTTGTTGTTGTTGTTGTTGTTGTTGTTGTTGTTGTTGTGGTGGTGGTGGTGATTGTTGTTGCTCCTCTTGTTGTTGTTGTTCCTCTTCTGATTCATCATCATCTTTAATGACGGTTACTTTTCTTTTTCGTCCTCGTCTTGAAACTTCACCATTAGTTGTCACGGGTGTTATTGGTGTTCGTGTACCACGACCTCGTCGTGCTGATGTACGAGGAGTTGTTGTTATTGGTGTTGTTTTTGTTGTTGGTGGTGGTGCTGTTGTTGTTGTTATTGATGATGAATCATTTGTTGGTATTTCAATAAGACCAGCATCAAGTTGTTGACGTAAATCTTTATAAACTTTTTCGATTAAAATAGAATCTTCAAAAATTAATGATGTTTCACAATTAAATGTTTGAGCATTTTGTACAAGTAATTCAATATCAGCTTGAAATTCATCTAAATTCGAATATCGATATGTATCAATTTTTCTTCTTATACGTTGAAAATCAATTGGATCTTGAATTGTTTGATAATAAATCGGTAATTGTTTTTGTCCAGGTAAACGTATAAATGGTTGAGCTAATTGTCGATTATCTTCTGTACGATAAGCTAATATACGTTCAAGTAATACACGACATTGTGGTGCAATTTTTGGATCAACTGATTGTAAACGTTTTTTAACACTACCACGTTTTGATGCAAAATTTTGATGATTTACTACTGGTGTTGTTGGATTATCAAATGATGAACGTGCTTCAGTTTCATCAAGATCAATATCCATGTCATCATCATGATCTTGTGATGATAAACCAGCACTTTTACGTGTTTGTTTTCGTATACGTTTTTGTTCAACAGCATCATCTAAATTACCTTCTTCCAAAGCTTGTAAAAATTCTCGTTCAGTTAAATTATCACTATAATCAACATCTTTACGTTGTCGACGACCTTTACCCATATCTTCATCACTAACAAGTGTTTTTTCAACTTCCTCAACATCATTTTTTAACCATGCAGGAAGTTCATCTTCAGTTATAAGACGATTAATTTTCATTTTACGATGAACACTTGGTGTTGCTTGAGAAAAATCAACATCTTCTTCATCTTCAAGATCTTCTAATGGTGATGGTGTTATTTCATCATTTGTTGTTGTTGTTGTTGTCGTTGTTTCTTCACCACCACGTGTTCCTTCATCATCACTTTGATCAACAAATCCTGTTGTTATTTTACTAAATAAAAGTAAATCAAATATATATTAAATAAAATAATTGATTCTATACTTTTCTTTCGATGGCGTTTTATTTGATGGATCTGTTGAATCTTCATTGTCACTTTCTTTTTTACGTTTAACTCGAGGTGTATTCGGTCTAACAACACTACTCGGTTCTGTAGGTCCCAAATCTGATAATTTCCAACTACGACGTTCAGTAGCACCATCACCACCACTACCAACACCATTCAGGGATTCATATTCACGTCGAGCAACATCCATACGATTAAATAAATTAAATTCACCTTCAGTTCGAGCAATCATCTATAAGACAAAAAAAAATATTTAATAAACTTCGCATTTAGTTAATAAACAAACTATTATTTACTTGATTAAGAATTTCATCATCAGGTATATCTTCATCATCATCTTTACATTCATCATCGCCTTCAATTAATTGTTCAAGATAATCATGTCGTTCACTTGATGTTGATGAACGATTAAACATGCCAGCTTGAATAACTTTTTCATCAACATTTAATTTATATCTTGCACAAGCTAAGATTTTTTCTTCAACTGTATTAACAGCCATTAAACGTAAAACTCGTACTTCATTTTTTTGTCCAATACGATGTGCACGATCTTGTGCTTGTTGATCTTGATGTGGATTCCAATCGGAATCAAATAAAATAACTGTGTCGGCTTTTTGTAAATTTAAACCAACACCACCAGCACGTGTTGATAATAAAAATATAAAGCAACTTACATTATCATCATTAAAACTTTTTAATAATTCACATCGATCATCAGCTTTTGTTGTACCATCTAATCGTAAATATGTATAACTACGATAAGAAAAATAATGTTCAAGTAAATCCATAACAGCAGTCATTTGACAAAATAATAAAATTTTATGTCCACTTGCTTTTAATTTTGGTAATATACGATCGAGTAATTCAAATTTACCTGATACACGAAATAGATCAGCTCCATTAATCACGCCATCTTTATAACCAAGTGATTCTGCTAAACGATCTTCAATTTCTGCGAACAGAAATGGATGATTACAAATTTTACGTAATTGCATCAATTTATTCATTAAAGCACGACGACCACCTTTACCATTTTGACTTTCAATAATTAATGTACGATTTTTTGACATAGCATGATAAAGACATTTTTGTAATGCAGATAATTCACATTTAATTATATATTCAACCTAAATAGATTTATAAAAGATCTTCTAGTACACGTTCATATAAGGGATCAGTTAGATTTCTATAAAGATACGACTTCACTGAGGTTTATCGGATTTAACCTTTTCCGGTCAGATTTTGCCGTAGGGGGGTACGGCATTTTTTTAGTACTTTTTTCAATGAAGTGTGTCTCTAACAAGAGCGAAAAAGCGATACTTCCGTACTTCCATTGTACTCCCTTGTACTTCCATCATAGATGGAGTCTCGCTTTTTCCCTCTCGGTCTCTAATAATCTGATTTGTAATATCAGTTTCATCGTTGAAAGATAAAACTATATGTCTTAAATGAGATGTATTGTAATTCAATATCAATACTAACCTTATCAGGTAGTTGTGATTCGACTTCTTTTTTAAGTCGTCGTAAAAGAAATGGTCGTAAAACTTTATGTAAACGTCGAATAATTAATAAAGTTTCTTCATGATTTAATTCGACTTTTTCACTTGGTAAAGTTGCAAATGGTGCATTAAACCAATCTGTAAATGTTGTTGCAGATTTAAATATAGTTGGTAAAATAAAATTTAATAATGCCCATAATTCAGGTAAATTATTTTGTAAAGGTGTACCCGTTAATAATAAACGATGTGGAGCATTGCAATAAAATGAATTTAAAATTTGTGTTAATTTACAGTGATGATTTTTCATTCGATGACCTTCATCAACAATTACATATTTCCATGGAACTTTAGATAATATTGAACGATCACGCATAATATATTCATATGTTGTTAATAAAACATTAAAACGATTGTTACGTATTGTTTGTCCAAGCAATTTACGTACATGTGGTAAACCTTTATATTGTATAACAGCAACGTCAGGTGCCCAACGTTGAAATTCTGATGCCCAATTTGATAATGTTGATAATGGAACAATAATTAATGATGGTCCAGGAATTTTTTTATAATCAAGTAAATGTACAATTAATGCAATTGTTTGAATAGTTTTTCCAAGACCCATTTCATCAGCAAGTATACCATTTAAATTATTATTATATAATGAAACAAGCCATTCAAGACCTTGTAATTGATATGGTTTAAGTGAACCACCAACAAGCATTTTCGATTGTTCAGTTATCGGTTCACGTATACGATGTGCAATAGAATAATAAGATTCTTTTGCATCATATTCATCATCTTCATTTGTTGCTGCAACTTTAACAGCATCACGTATTGCTTCATCATTACCAGTTTGATCAATAATTGGCCTAAAAAAAGAAAATTGTTTGAACCAAGATGAAATTCCTTGTAACGATAATAGATACACTATAAATTTGTATAATACTATTGAAAGAAAGGGTAAAAATATTAATCTTCGTATATCTCGTCTCTATTGATAGGATGTTCTGTGTATGAACAACGTATGGTACTATTTTTTTTAATAGAATGACCTATATTTTATAAATCCCTAATCTCTTTTAATATGAAAGAATCACTCATAAATAAACTTACTCTGGTTTTATTTCTTCATCGGTAGTTGCTGTTGTTGTGGTCGTTGTTGTTGTTGCTGGAGGAGGATCAATGACTGTAGTTACAGCTACTTCAGGTTTATCTGAAAGAGTTTTAGCTGGTCGTCCACGAGAACGATTTACTTGTTGATGTTGTCGTACTAATTGTTTAAGATTATCAATATAAGTATCTGTTTGTGATAATAATAATGCTAAACGTGCATCTTTTTTTTCATCAACTAATTTTCTATAACCTTCTTCATCTTCATTCATTAAACGTTTAATACGTTCTTTTTCTTTACGTTCTTTTTCTTTAATTAATTCACGTTCATTATTTGCAAAATAGGCTTGTATAGCTTTACTCATGCGTACAGTTGATAAGGAATATCGACGATGATATTCACGAAATTCACGTGCATGATTTTGAACAGCATTAAGAAATTCATGATGTTTAGCACGTTGACGTTGTTCAATTTCAATTTTACGTTGACGTTCGTACTGTTCAGTTGAACGTGCTTCACGAAGATGATGACGTTTTGGACGTTTATAGGCACGAGGATTTAAAGCTGTCTGTATTAATGTATCTTTCTAGAATTAACAAAATAATCATAAGAAAAATTAATAAAGAAAATAAGTTCAATCAAACCTTCATAGTCGTAAGAATTTCCCCACGAAGTTGTTTTTGAAATTGAAGTAATTTCAATGATTTTATTTCAATTAAAGCTTGTGTACGTAAATCAACACTCATATGTGCTGGCATATGTTCAAGTTCTTGAACACGATTAGAAATACGATTAAGTACACTAAATAATAAACAAAAAATGGTTAGATTTGGACAAAGAAAAATTTCTAATATTTACCGTTTTTCTTGTTCTTGTTGAATATATAATGGATTAAGACCAATTGGATGTTGACGAACATGTGTCGGAGTATCTTCTTCATTATTTTTATTCGTCTCATTTGATCGTACTAACCATCGATACATATCGGTTGCTGATGTAAATGTTAATGGTGTATCACCATCATTCTGACTTGTTCCAAGAATGATAGTTGTTGGTTGTTTTGCTTCAGATTGTTGGTCTTGAACATGATTTTGAATAAAACTTGCTAATTGTGTTTTATATGAACATGATTGAAGTAATGCATCGGAGACAGGTAAATTACGAGCAAGTAGACGATAAGTAGCTATTTGAGATTTAAGAACATTTGTACGAAGATGATCAAGCTCAGATGGATCAATAGTAATGATAGAAGTCGAATCATTATCCATTGTTGCCATTTTCTGATTTATCTAAAATAGAATATTTTAAATAATTTGAATCTTTTTTTCTATTTCAGTTAAGTAGACGATCATCCTCTGGTGGTTCTACAGGATCAGGAGGAGGTAAAAACAATAAAATGCCAAAACCTTTCCCAGTTATTACTCCACAATCATATCTTCCTGGTTCTCCTGGTGCTTCAGGAGCTTTCTATCCTGGAGGAGCTAATCAGCCCTCAGGAATACCGCCAACGATGTATCCACCACTGCCACCAAATCAGTCTCAACCACCTATCTTAAATCCTAACTATGGATCTGGCTATCCACCACAATATAACGGTCCCATGCCCTATCCTAACAGAAATCCTATGCCACCCCGCCCTCCATTTCAAAAAACAAGATTTGCATCGTTACCACGTCGTCGTCCTCCAGAACATGCACATCATCGATATCGTTCACGTCGTTGTCGTCCTGTTATTCATATAATCGATTCTGATTCATGTTCATCAATATCAACTTGTTCATCAGAAAGTTCATATGAACGATATCATTGTCGATCACATTCTTATCCAAGACGTTGTGGAACACGACCACAACAACAACAACAACCAATCATTTTCTTACCTGTACAATGTCAGCAACAACCATCAGCTATGAAAGGTTCCTTTCAAGGGCAAATACAACCTATGATATTACCTTCATCACAAGTTCAACAACCATTTCTTGCTTTACAATCAGCTTCTACAATTCAACCATCTCTGTCAATGCCACAAATGGTACCTGCTAGACGACCACAACAAATTCAAGCAGGTCCCATAACATATGTCTATGCAGGAGCACCACAAACATCATCATCATCAACTCAATTAAAAAATCCATCAGGACAATCATATTCAAACATAGGTTCACAACGTAATCTTGTTAATAATGAAAATACGAAGGAATCAGTTATTATAAAACCAATTCCACGAACTAGTTCACTAAAGGATCCATCAACTAATACGCTCAAATATGAGCGAATTCCATGTGATCATCGTTATATAACTATTGGAAAAGAACGTAATTGCAATGATGAGAATCAAGGTGGACAACGACGAGAAACAAAAATTACATAAAAATAATAGAAAGATTTTGTTTTTTCTGAGAAGACATACAGAAAGTCGAAATCATTTTTTCTTTGTATTTTTTAATATAAATAAATAATAAATTTCCTAAACATACAAATAAAACTATGAAAGTCCGTTTTTAATAAGTATTTTCTTATGAAAAAAACAAATCAAATAAGATTAACTTACTAATAAAGTTTGAAAAAGACAAAGAAAAACTAGCTAATCATAATTATGTTTATGTACGTGAATACAAAACAGTCGTTTTTTCTTATTAGTTTGCTATTCTAACCAATCAAATAAGATGTTATTATACACAACAATAGATGTCGCTAAATGTACGTCTGTGATATTCTTTTCTAATAGTTGACTTCAATTATATAAGTATATACGTGTGAAAACAAGTGTGTTTTATGCAAGTGCATATCAATTTTCAACAATGGTTAATGACATTGAATAAGAGAGCTAGAATATAAATTTCAATCTCCTATGCCAAGAAAAATTCTGTAGATATTTGATTTTTCATTGTAATAAATAACATTTCATTATACGAAATATATTACTGATAAAAAAATTATCATACTCTTTATTTTTTTTGGATATGTATCATTTCTGCTGTATGTTTATATTCTAAAAGTAAGAAATGATTCGATATAAGTGCAGAACAATGTATCGACTTTTAATCCTTATAAGATCAATAAAATAGAAAAGCAAGATGCGCCCATCATTTCAACACGCTTAATTGAAATTTGATACTAGATTAAAGTCTTAAAGATATTCGTTTTTGCTCTAATGTTCATCGATCGTATTTAATTCTGTTTCATTTCTTTTAGAAAAAAACCAACGATTTTTATTTAATATCATGAATACACTTTCTATTCGTGGTCAACAAATGGCTGCATGTGTATCTCCATTAATAAATAATTATATGGCTGTTCAAAAAAATCCTTATGATGATGAATTAAATCCTAATGGTATATGTAATTTTGGTGTTGCAGAAAATTATTTATGTGAAGATGAATTAATATCAAAACTTGAATCAATTCATATATGGGAAAAAAATCATATATATTATCCAAATTCTTTAGGTCAAATATCATTACGAAAAACTTTATGTAATTTTTTTCAAAAATATTTTCATCTTAATTATCAACTTGATCCACATCGTATGATAATTTCAAGTGGTTTAAGTGGTGTTATGTCATTAGTAAGTTTTCTTATTGGTGACAAGGATGATGTTTTACTCATTGCATCACCTTACTATACTGCTTTTGATCATGATGTATCAGCATTATCAAATTGTGCAATATTTCCATGCCCATTACTTGAACAAGATACGGGTAAATTTACATTTTCAGTTGAAATTTTTCAACATGGTTATACTAAAGCAATAAATCAAGGTCTTCATCCATGTGGAATTATTATTGTTAATCCACATAATCCATTAGGTGATATTTATGATGAAGAAACAATTCGACCTGTGTTAGAATTTGCTGCTGAAAAACAATTACATGTTATTATTGATGAAATTTATGCATTAAGTATATTTGAAAATGAAAAAACTTTTCCATCATTTTTAAATTATAAATCTATTATTGATCCTGAACGTACACATTTTGTTTGGTCATTAAGTAAAGATTTTTCATTAAGCGGTTTACGTTTAGGTGTACTTTATGCTGGTTCAAAAGCATTATGTTCATGTGGTGCAGCAGTTAATTTTCTTCAAGTACCATCAACTATCGTTCAAGAAATTTTAGCTGTAGCTTTATCTGATTATCAATGGATTGATTCATATATAAAATTAAATCGTTTACGTTTAACAACACAATATGAAAATGTTAAAAAACAAATTGAAAATATTGATTCACGTATATATGTTCGACCATCAAAAGCTGCATTTTTTCTATGGACTGATTTTCGTTCAATATTACATGAAGTTACATTTGAAGAAGAAAAACGATTATTTCAAATTATATTTGATCACGGTGTTTATATCGTATCGGGTTTTTTTCTTGGATGTTCTCAACCAGGATGGTTTCGTATTATATTTTCTGTAAAAGAAACATGGATTGAAGAAGGGATTAAACGAATAAAACTAGCATTAGATGTTTATCGCCATTCAATAATTCCTTCGAATGTATAGACAGATTTGTTTATACACACATATCTTTAGTCTATTCTCTTTCTACACTTTGTGTTAACTATAAATTTATCGAGGTTATCGATCTTTGTTTTTCTCTCGTCTACTGTATGACACTTATATAAGACGAAGAAAGTCACTTATAAACTTTATTATATCTTTTTGTTTGAATTTTACACTGTGTGAGTATAGAATATCTAAATTTGTTTTTCTGTAAAATTTAATTAATTATTTAATAATAAATTAGGACAATGTCATCACTTATTTTTCTACTATTTCTTGTTGGTACAATCTCGGCTGCCTTTAAAGGTGAACGAGAATTTGAAGTAAAGCAAGCTAGTTTATTAAATCTTGGCCGAACTTATACGTTAGTAATTTAATTATTATTTGAAATTGTTTTTTTGAAATAACTTTTAATTATTTAGAATAACTGAAACAGGAAAACTTAATGCTGGCGAAAATGCAGGACGTTTTACAATTGAAAATGATATGTTAAGCCCTCGCCGAAAACTTATCTTACTTGAAAATGGTAAACCACTTTATGAATTTAAACATAAAATGGGACATCTCTATCAAAAGTAAATAAAAATTAATTATTTTATTTAAAAAAAATTTTTCTTTGTTTTTATTTATTTAGATGGCATGTCTATGATTCACGAACAGGTGAAACAATTGGTACATTTAGACATCGTCCATCACTTATTCATGATTCATATAAACTTACATCAACTAAACTTGGAATGTATCGTATTACTGGCAAGTTTGGTAATCGAACATTTAAAGTTAAACGAGATGGTCAAAAAGTATGTCTATTTATTTCGAATTATTTTTTTTTCTATTTATGAAATCTTTTATAGGTTGCTGAAATTCATAAAGATCGTCTTCATCTTCATGATACATATAGTGTTAAAATTCAAGCTAGTCAAGATCCAGCTGTTATTTTACTTATTACTATTGGTATTGATGAAATTCGTCAACATTAATTTCATTTTTCTCATTTTTTGTTTCTATTTAAAAAAAAGAATAAATTTCGAAAATTAAAAAAATCTATTTTTCTTTAATCAATGTGTTAAGGATAAAAACATGTAATAATCCGCCGCATATGAACTTTAAAAAGGATCGAATGATTATTGACACTATATCAAGAAGAAATTGTCTTTTCTGATATAATTAATCGTATAAGTTGTTTAATCATTAAAAATCTTAGATAAGATAAAATTATATTGTATTTCGATTGTATTAACATATAAATATATCTCAAATCAGTGGCGGATTTAGGGGTGGGCGATGGAGGCGGTCGCTCCCATCCCTTTCAGAAAACTTTGTTGATTTTTTACAGCAAAAATGAACAAAAAATTAGGTTCACACTACTTCGATTGGACCCAAAAATAGTTTTCAGCCGAAATCGATCTCCCCTACTCAGGTTTCGCCCCTATTTACTCAAGAATCGCCCCTCCCTTTCAAAATCCTAGATCCGCCCCTGTATTAAATTTGATACTCCGAATTGTATTAACATCTTTTAGATCAATTAGAAGACAGTTTCGATTTGTATACTAATTTGACGTTTGTTTATTCACAATTTTCTTGTTAAATTCGATTATTCAATGCTATTTTGTATGAACTATATGAGATAAATCGAATTTTCTTTTTCTCTTCCTTCCGGATCAATTAATCATTGGTCAGTTATAATTTTCATCTATACAAATAACAACCAATTAACCACTACGAATGAATATCATCACCTCATGAAAAAAAAATGTAGGCATATTTAATGATCTACATTTTTCATTTTCTATATTCAAATTAAAAAGACGATGTTTGGTTTACCTGCTTCTTCCCGCTATCTCACTTCGAATGGAACAAACATTCAACAACAACAACAGCAACAAAACAGGTATATAATTCTTATATTATTCAATTAATATCAATGAAAATTTTGCTTTAGATTTCATCCATATAGTTTTAAACGTGTAGTAAAAAAATGTGCATTTGATATTGATTCACTTTTAAAACCAACAAATAATTCAAGTTATATAGATGATACTGAAGATGGTTCGAGTGATGATGGTCATGTTCATCTTGAATCATCTTCATCTTTTTGTAATTCACCTATATCAGCGTATACATTTCTGAATCAATTGAAAACCAATGAAAATTTAACATTATCATCATCATTTGAATCTGATCATTCAACTATTCAAACAAAGTCAAAACGTATTCGAACAATATTTACACCAGAACAACTCGAAAGACTTGAAACAGAATTTGAAAAACAACAATATATGGTTGGAAATGAACGATTGTATTTAGCAAAAAAACTTGATTTAAGTGAAGCACAGATAAAGGTAAAATGCTTTTTTTCTCTTTTTCAAATGATTAATCTTCTTTTTCTCAAAAAAAAGATATGGTTTCAAAATCGTCGTATTAAATGGCGTCGTCAAGCACTTGATACTCAACAATAATTAATTTTTTCTATTGACTTTTTTTGCATGTGTTAAACTAATAAATTGTTTTTCCACATCCTGTAAATGTGCATCTTTTTTTCTCTCTCTCGATATTGTTTACCTGCTGGTGGAATCAGCCAATTCACACATTCTTGTCAGTAAACAAAATCGTATGCCAATGTGTGAGTATTCTCACCAATTGAGAAAGAAATGATCATTGTTATTAGTTTTTTTATACTCGTAACACCTTCAACTATTCTTACAAGATAAAATTAAATGATCAATTTAATCTTTGATAGGTTTGCAAAAAAGAGTGAACTAAACATCGATAAAAGCTGATTGGATTTTATAAATATCAGACTTATATAGACATGTATAATGGCAACAAATAGTATTCTACATTTATTATTAAATCTTATGAATTTATCGCATTAATTTTGTTTTTATGATTAGTCATCTCTTCGTAGAATGTGTTTCTTTTGAATAAAAATATTATTCATGTACGTCATACATATGAAATTCTGTTATTGCTATTACGAGCTTTTGTAATTCTTACAGAATTTTGTTTCTATTATACAAGTCAATGATTATCATTATTCAAAAATATATCAATTAAATTCATTTGTTGATGTATGTATTTGTTCATTTCTTCTCTGAAATCTTGGATTGCTAAAATGAGTTAAATATGCAAGTGATGATATTGTATGTAATGGTATAAGTCCATCAATAATCGTTTGTCGTCGTGATAAATGTTCAGATGGTATTCGATAAATTCGCATACCTGTAAGTTTAACAGAATTTGGTGAACTAACTTCAACATATGGTGTTGAACGTGTACATTCGATTATTTGTGGATAAAAATCATCTTTTAAAAAACTGTAGAAAAATGGAATACATAAAAGACAAAAACAAATAAATAAACATGAAATTAAACATATTAAAATGATGAACCAATCAGTTCGACTTAATTTTGTTTGTTCATTACATTCATAACCAGAATAAGAATGATCACATAAACAAAATTCATACCAATTAATAAGATAATCATCAACATGAATACATTGTCCATGAAAACATGTTTCATTTACTATACATGGTATATTTAAGTATGGAATACGCATTGTAAACAATACATTTAATAAAGCGCCAAGAAAGATCATTATTACATGTGAATCAAAATTTTTTTTTAGTTGAAAGAATAATCAAGAAAATAAATGGAATTAAATACTTTATATATATCTAAAGTACTATCGCACGTTAAGACATATATTGAAACTATTTAATTTGTCTTTTGTATAAAATAAACAAAAGAGTTCCTTTGTATGCATATAACTTAATATTTTTTTTAGTTAGTTAAAAACGAGTGGTGCTCGTCGATACGATTCGTCTGATCCTTGACTGGAAATAATCTTATCATTATCCATTACCTCCTATAGAAGTCTCTTATGCAAGTAACACAATACTGCTAAAAAAGCACCTTAACTATTTTAGACCATCATCTCCCGCACCACACTGCAAAAATGCTAAGCAGCATTATTACCACAATATACATTAAATTTTAAAATAGAAAGCTTTTTTATTGTTTTTACGAAAACTTCAACAGAAGAAAAATGTACGCACCATTAGCACTACCTATGTGTTCATTAACGCCAAAATATTTAATAATCGGATTCATAGTTTCTTTCCCTTCTATTGCGCGCAATAATTTCATGAATTTTATATATGATGTCGTCTTCGATCCTAAAAGTATCGAGATCTAGTGTAGTGAGTGCCTAGATGAAAAATGGAAGGTAAAATCATGGTATAGATAAAGAGAAAATGACAATTACTGTGTTATACTGTAATGCATTAGCCAAATGCTGTGCTCCAACATTTCCGATTTGATTGCTCGAAAGATCTAATGTTGTCAATGTCTATACGACAAAGAGAAGATAGAGCCATGCTATAGATGAAGTGAGAAAGACAATTACTGTGTTATGCTGCAATGCATTAGCTAAATATTGTGCTCCAACATCTCCGATGTGATTAGATGCGAGACCTAGTTCAATGAGTGCCTATATGAAAAAGAGAGGATAAAGTCATGATATAGATGAAGAGAGCATGGCAATTACTTTGTTATTCTGTAATGCATTAGCCAAATATTGTGCACCAATCCTTCCGATTAGATTCTGGGCGAGCTCTAGTGTGGCGAGTGTCTAGATAAAAAAAAGTGCGGATAAAGAGACGATATAGGTAGAAACAGAATGAGAACTACCGCGTTGTTTTGTAATCCTTCACCCAAGTGCTGGGCTCCAACATATCCGATCATATTGTTGTAGAGATCTAATTTTGTAAGTGTCTATACGAAAAAGCGAAGATAAAGGCATGCTATAGGTGAAATGAGAATGACAATTACTTTATTATGTTGTAATGCAATACCTAAATGTTCTGCTCCAACATTTTTAATTTTATTATGATCGAGATATAGTGTAGTGAGTGTCTATACAAAAAAGTGAAGATAAAGCCATGCTATAGAAGAAGAGAGAATGGCAATTACTTTGTTGTGTCGCAATGCATTACCTAAGCGTTGTGCTCCAACATCTCCGATTTGATTGTTAGCGAGATGTAGTGTGGTGAGTTTCTAAATGAAAAAGTGCAGATAAAGATATAGTATAGATAAAAGGAGAAGACAGTTACTATGTTCGCCTGCAATCCACCAGCCAAATGTTGTGCTCCAACATCTCCGATTCTATTGTCGCAGAGATTTAATGTTGTCAGTGTCTATACAAAAAAGAGAAGATACAACCATGTAATAGATGAAATGTCAATGATATTTACTGCGTTATGCTGTAATGCATTAGCCACATGTTGTGCTTTAATTTTTCTGATTTGTTTTTTGGTGAGCCCTCGTGTGGTGAGTATCTAGGTGTAAAAGTGCAGATAAAGACTTAGTATAGATGAAGAGCGAAGGGCAATTACTGTGTTGGACTGTAATGCATTAGCCAAATGTTCTGCTCCAATCGTTCCAATTTGATTGTCGGTGAGATCTAGTATGGTGAGTGTCTAGTTGAAAAAGTGCAGATAAAGATATAGTATAGATAAAGGGAAAAAGACAATTACTGTGTTCACTCGCAATCCAACAGCCAGATATTGTGCTCCAACATCTCCGATGTGATTAGATGTGAGACCTAGTTCGATAAGTGTCTATACGAAAAAAAGAAGATAGAGCCATGCTATAGATTAAGACAGAATGACAACTACCGTGTTATATCGCAATGCATTACCTAAGCGTTGTGCTCCAACATCTCCGATTTGATTGTTGACGAAATGTAGTGTGGTGATTATCTAGAGGAAAAGGTAAAATTGAAGACATGAGATAGATATAGAGATACGATGATGAGTCGCTTTCTTATGGCTGTTTATAACGAAAACTGAGGTTATTCTTATTGCGTTGTAGAGTGTGTGGATATGAGTATGAATGTTCCTATGATCTTGCCTGCTGTACTATCTTAAAAAATTTCGTGTAAAAGCTAGGTTGGAAAGAAGTTATCAAGAGCGACACTTGTATAGGAATTTTTTATGTGTCATTTATTATAATTGTTAAATTTTTGGAAAGAAATGAGAAATATCTGTGTATCCAATGATATATTGTAAATTATTTCTGTGCAAAATAAAGATGAAGCACTGTAGTATGTTCGGAAATAATGATGCAGTGTAGTTCCTTTTCAAGTTTTTTTCCAGTGACATTCTTTCATAGCCTTGGATGAGATTCGATGGATATTTTGTATCAGACATTCATATCAATCATGTAATTTTACTTCACTCCGCATATGATTTGTAGTGGTGAAAATATATGTTGATTTCAATAGCTGCTTTTAATGATACCGCAAAATAGTGCGCATGAAAGAACATTGATTTATAGAAATTGAAGGGTGAAACAATTTATTCGATGATGTTAGATTCATTCTGAGTAGAACACGGACACAGGCGTAAAACGTACTATAGAAAATATCCCTCACGGATTATCTACAGCTTTTCATTCTAGTAATGAATTATTCTCGAAACTTGATCGTCGGGAAAATGTCCTTTAGATAGAATGTGCTTCAGAACAATTATTGTCGGGAAAATGTAGTTTCGGAGTAATGTTCCTGGAAAATATGTTCCACCTTTATGGTATGGGTGTGAGTGATGTGAATGCTGTTGTGGAATAGTCTTCTGTCCATCTATCCCTATGCTCACACTCCTCGTGCTCTGAAAGGAGCATTTGTTGTAGACCTTCACCATGGAACTTTGTAGGATTTCATTCATAATAAGATAAACAGTTCGTCAATTATTAATTTCTTACAAAATCTAATTTTTATTACCGAAATGGTATCAAAAAAAGTGTTTAGATACATGTAAATATATAAATAATAGTGTTTTTTTTCAAGACATTATATGGTTATAACATCATATCCAGTTTTAAACGAGATATATTTAGACGAGATTAAAAGAACGAGAAAAGGAAATTATTCTTTGCTGATTATTAGAATATTATGTTCGTATTGTCATAATGCAAAAAATGAATTTTTGAGAGGATTAATAACTGATGAATTAGCTTGAGTGACATATATTTTGTTCACATATACTTTATTGCAATGATTCAACTTATCTATTGATTAGAGGAATGAAAAATAATTTGAGTCATTAAGTGTAAGTCAGACAATCACGTTAGAAAAACTTTACCCGATATTGATCATAACTGTCAATGATGCTGTTAAACCGTTGACACACATTTCTCATTGAACACAAAATTGTAATATATTTTTGATGATCCAAAATACGGTAGACAAGTTCTACCGGTAATGTATGAAACGTAGTGCTATTTTGATTTGACATTATAAACTGCTGTTGAAATACGTGCTGTGTAGTCTTATATGTTGATTGTATGATGTATTGTTAGTTTTTTCTTATTACTGAATGAATTGATACTTGGTTTGTGCCACTGTAAGCGAATATATAAACTATTTTTTCCCCAGTTTTTTTCACATATATGATCATATATTATTTCTTTCACATATCTATCTATCTATCTATCGGGTATTTTCCTCTTCTTCTTCATATATGTTCATATGGCATTTTCTTCTTTTCTTGCACATGTATGTTCATATAGGATTTTTCCTTTCATTATCTTAATTTGTTCTTCTTCTGTTCTTCTAACTTATATTGAAACTGCCAAGTGATGAATGAAAGGATATCACTTATGCATTTTCCTAGAATATGTTGTATTACAAGAAATAGGATTAATCAAACTAACCATTTCTTGTCCTATAAACACTTGCGTTTTATTCTTAAATAAACGAACTGTTATTAAGCTTCCAAAACTATCATCTTCTTCTACAAGCTACGATAACACTGTGACAACCACAAATATCGCACGACGTTGCATTTGCTTGTTAGAAGAAAAAATTAAAAAAGATGACATCAGTGACAAAATAATAGAGCCGCGATAACAACTGCATTCAAGGATGTAAACCTCAGCGAAGGACTAAGATTACACTCACATCCAAATTGTTTGGGCACGAATCCAGAATTGAACTACATTCATAATATTTTGAATACATTAAGATCTGTCATAGTAAATGCTGCTCTTTATTAGAATTTTGCGAAGTGTAAAAGATTCATACTGTATTGATTTACTCTTGTATCTAAGCAGTTATTAATTTTTCCTTTTTTCAGAAATTAAAAACGATATGAAGAGAAATAGCGAAAAGGACTAGTCAAATATATGAAAAGAAATATCACTTCTCTATGATGGATCTCACTTTATACTAAATATTCTTAAAAAATCTGATAGGTATCCTCTATAACGATATTTTACTCTAAAACTTTTTAATTTGAGTTAGATAACCACATTTCATAAACAGACGATTCTAGTTTTGAATTATTTTCATCAATGACATAAGTACATCTTATGTATTTGAATTTGGATTTATGTGACAAGTTCTATTATCTTCTGCTGTATTTTCAATCTGAAAAGCAGCTGTTCGTGAATAATTATATACTACAGTATTAACATTGAATTGAAGTGGAAAAAACTATTTAATTTTTTTTGTATTTTTATTAGACGACCTTTGTTTTTTTTTCAAATTGCCGTGATACAGACATATATAAAAAAAGAGAGAGAAACATCGACAAACAAACAACAATAAAGAGAAAAGAAAAAGAAACGAACGTTTGTATTTTAGTTTTATGTCACTTGAAGAAAAAAATAATACATGATGAACAAAAAAGAAAAAAGAACAAGAAGATAATAGTCAATATAAAAAGTGCAGAAAAAAACTATACATATGTTGTGACAATTAGAAGAATACACAAAGTTAACCGAAGGACAAACATACATAATACACACAAATATATAGAAGAATAAATATCCATCAAGATAACCTTAACGAACCCTGAGATTTCACCGTAAAATATTCGTGCAAGTATTTTTATTTTGTTCTTTTATTATTTATTGTCTTCGTGTAGTTATCGATGTTGTTGTTGAATTTTTTGTATTATCATTTGTTGGTGGATTAAGTTCAAATTCAACAAGAAGTGAAAAATGATCCGATGGAACATTTGGATGTGGACAACCGACTATTTTATTTGTTTGAATCCATTCAGGATCAAGTGGTCCTAATACACCGAGTACACGCATTAATTGTGTTGAATAAAATACATAATCAATAATTCCTTTAAAATCATACCTAAAATAAACATATAATCAGTCATGTATTTAAATTAGCTATTAGAAAAGATTATATGTAGACAATTAATCTTTTCTAAGAATAAATTATGAAAATACAATATTTAAAGTATTAATATAGAGTTATACTGGATGTTATTTTGAACTCAATCTATGTCTAGGCGATAATATTCAAATCTTTTGAATTCTAACAATGAATATTTTTGAGTTCACAATTAGACATGACCCAAACCCAAACTATTTGGGGGTTTAGGTACTAAGCCCAGACCCAAACCCAAACTCAAACTCAAACCCAATGCCCAAACTCATCAAACTTAAACAGTTTGGGTTTGGGTTATGTCTATTCAGAATGAAGATACGCTGATATTATTAAAAACTTTCACATTATAATTCATAATTAAGCATGAAATAAAATATTTGCTAACTTACGTAAAATTTGTATAAGGCATAATGGGTGCTGATGTTGTTTCATAAGCTGATTGTAATTTAAAATGATGTATAATATCACTACTTGATGTTGTAATACCATCAATTCCACTATGTTTTTGTAAATATGTTTCATAACTGAGATCTTTAAAATCTGCATGATTCTTTGACATTTTTCCATTACGCATTAATTCAATAACGCCTTTTAAATAATAAATAATAATTATTATGTCATATATACATATTTTTGTATTTGTTTACCTGAATCTGGTAAGGAATTAAAATCTCCGCAAAGAACTAATGGTACTGTTGAACAATCAATGGGTGTATTATTAGAATTTGGTCGATGTATTTGTATAGCATCTTCCATAATTGTTTTTAATTCTGATAATAACATTAATGTTTGAACAACTTTAACATCACAATATTCTGGATCCCAATGTATATGTGCTGTACAAACAAATAACATTTGTTTATGATCAACTGGTAAAGCACCTTTCGTAAAAGCAAAAAAAAAAGTTATTCTTATTTTTTTGATTAAAATTTTTTATTTTACCACTTGAAAATGTATGAGAATAAATTTCTTCTTTTGTTTCAAGAAAGCAAACAATACCAATATTATCTTTAGTCATAACACGATTCATCATATCATGACATGATGTACCATTTGCAGCTGACATAGCCAATTGATTAAATTCAACAAGATAATGTTTGATTAACCGAAATCTTTAAAAATAAAAATAAATTAAAAAATTCCAATTTTGTTTTTCGCTTTTACTTCGATTGTCGATAAAATATTGCACATCCATCAACATATCGACGATCTTGTTCACACATAGTTTTAGCACGTGATTTAGGACTAAACACACCATCATAACCATTTTTTTGTAATTCAGGTAAGAAAAATGCATGAAACTGATCAGTTTCAATTTCCTAAAATGAAACAAAAATGTTATTATAGAACAAATGAGTCTATATCAAACCTGAAGAGCAATAATATCAGCTGAATAGGAACGTAATTCTTCAAGAATATGTTTACGTCTATAATCCCATTTTAATGCCCATGATGGACAATAACCATAGACATGTCTTGTTGCATATTTATCACAAAGAATATTGTAATTCATAATTGTATAGATGGCCGTTGGTTGTGTTCCATTTGGTGATGCAAGACGAAGCCATGATCTTGTTGGTGGTGGTTGAATAGCTAGAAAAAATAACAAAATTTTTTATTATTCAAAATAATTTTTTTTTTGTTAATTAAAAAAGAAAAAGAAAAAAGATCATCAAGAGTTTCTCCTCACACTCTCGATTGTAATACTGTAAATGATAAAAATATAAATAATTATATAATTGTAACCATGATATATAATAAAAATCATAATAAAATGGTAATATTGGACAATTAAGATGATATTCAATTGTATAATTTATATTTTGACCACTTAGATCAATACTAAATTTAATTAATGATGCATTAAAACGTTGTTTACGAGTTTTTAAACGAGAATATGTTTTTGTACGTTTAGTTGGATAATTTTCATAAGAAGATTTTTTCAAATAACGTCGAGAACGTTTACGATATGGAAAATCTTCTTTTTCACAACAACATGAAATTATATCATTAGAATCCGATGATGATGATAGATTACTAATACCGGATGATGATGATGATGATGATGTTGAAGATTTACGTCGTGTTTGTAATATAGGATGATGATTATTATTAATTGAAAATGAAAATGATACTTGATCTTCGTTATTAAATAAAATTGGCGATGATGATTGTTGTTCAGGATCTGTACTACTATAATAATCAGATGTTTCCATTTGAATTTTAGTATTACTAAATAAGAATGTTTGTTGTTTAATTAAAAACAAATGAAAGATTAGAAATTTACCTTGATATTAATTGTGCATGACGATGAGAATAAAAACTAGGTGATAATGGATTTAATGATGTCCTGAGTAATTTATTATTATTAGATACAAATGTTGTTTTACCATTAAATGGTAAATGAAAGACTTTAGTATTCGAAATATTGTCATTAATTTTTTGTTTTATTGGACGAAATAAAGATGTTGTTATTGAATGATCATTTATAAATAAATGCTTACAAGAAACTGTAACACGACGTGGTTCACTAATTGAACACATTTTATAATAATGACATTTTCGAATATATTAAACTGAAAAAAAAAAGTTTAATTAGATGATTGGAAAAAGAATAACTTTTCTGTTTCTATTAATGAATAACAAAAAAAGACGACGATCAATTCTAGTCCTCAGTCTCATTACTCTCACCTTATTCTAGTCATTATTAATGTGTTTATAATAAAAAATAGAATTGTCGATTGTTAGAGAAAAACAAAAAATATATTACTTCTATATGATATTCAATTTTTAATTTATTTTTCTAGAAAACAAGAACCCCTTTCTTTTTTTTTTGTCATATATTATATATCAGTTATTTCAAGAGAAAAAGAAGGAATATATATTCACAGACCTTCGATTATTCACAATATAACAAAGGCGGAAAAAAAGACGACAGCAGGAAAATAATCTTCATTTCTTTTCTGTTCAACACATCAAGCAAGAAGAAGAAAAAACTGCTTATGTCGTAGTTTTTCCGCCTCCAGATCGTACTCATTCTGTTTCTCTCTTATTTTTTAGTCAGAATAAAGATAACCATACTTACGCTTCTATTCTGTCAACCTTAATTATATTGAACAACTTAGCAAAAAAACAACATAAGAGAGAGAACAAGCCTATATACTTTAAAACGGTATTCTATAAATAATATTTTCTGATAAAAATATTATATTTACTAAACTAAATATCAACACCTAACATTCCCTTTTCAAAATAAAAATAAAACATTATGTTATGAATACTCACTTTATTAAATTTGTTTTGTACTATGTTGAATAAAAATATAATAATAATTAACTGAAAATATATGAGAGAACAAAAAGAAACTCTTGACGATCTTTAATTAAAACTAAAAGAAAATTTTTTTCTTGTTTATTACTTATACCATTAAGAGATGATGGTAGACTATCAAGGAAATAAGTTAAAAGTTTTTGTAAACCATTTGAATCAGTATAAATCGAATAAATCTCAGCTGGTAATGGATTTCCCATCAATCCTAATATATACAGAACAAAAAAGATAAATATTTTTCAAGAATAAATTAATTAATTACCTAAGCTTTGCAATCGAAATAATTTACCTAATTCATAAGGTAAATTGCGAATACTATTATTTGTTAAATTTAATTCACGTAATGTTATCAGTTCACCTAAACGAAAAAGAAACATGAATAACAATTAAAATACTGTCACTCATCGTTAAGAAATCTAGGTACAAATTTATTCTATATCTCGTTTGATCCATATTCAATAGAGTGACCTTGATCTTGTGTATTAATTATATATTATTTTGTACCTCTGGATGTTCCTGCGCACTTTTCCAGGTTGTCGTAATCATTATCTCTTTGGTTTTCATGATATTCATCTTTTTTTTACAGTTCTGCATTCGTGAGCCTGTTCGGTCTATAAATATATCTCTTTTAATTAGAAAAAAAGAATAAGCAATGACCTGCACGACTTCTAATGTAGTATATAACAGTGTTTTATTTAAAAATCTAGAGCATTAAGGATATATAGAGAATCCGCTGAGTATAGAGTTTTTGGAAAATATACATCTACGTAATTTCATTAAAATTCGCAAAGGTGCATCTGGGTATCTGCCATTGTGAGATTATAGAATGTCAATCAAAATTTTATGTCATGCCTAACATTGATTATTAGATACTTAAAAAGTACTTCTAAATCTGCCTTGATAAGAATTTTCGAAAGAAGATTGTTCTTCTAATGATCACGTTTAATAAATTAATTTAACTACGTCATTTTATTCTTGTTATAATATATATGAGACTTTTTTTTTTATAAAATAAACCCTACCGATTTCTGATGGTAAATTTCTTAATTTATTGTTCGATAAATCAAGTGTGACTAGATTTGATAAACAAGCTATTTCAGATGGTAATCGTGATAATTGATTATCATTTAAATATAAAACAGTTAATTGTGATAATGTCCATAACATTGGTGATAAATTTCGAACATTACCAGTAACTTCAAGTTCATTCCCTTTGTATTAGAAAAAAAGAAATATATTTTTGTTTTGTCTTGTTTAATTTAAATATTTACATTCACATTTTTTTGTATCGGCTGATGGTAATGAAGATCTTTGTTGAGGATCATTTTGTAACGATAATTGAGATTGATAAGGATAAAAAGTCGGTTGTTCAATTGATTGATGATAATAATATTGTTGAGAAGGATGAATACGTTGAGAATAATTTGTTGTTTCATCAACAGATAAAGAAGAATGCTACAAAAATAAAATAATAATAACAAATTTTCTTTTCTTTTCATTTGATAAAATAAATTTATTACATAATTTAAACTAACACCAGGCATTTCGACTATTGAAACACAAACATACAGTTCTAAATAAATAATCAAGATAATATTTCTTAAATTTTCAAACAATAATTTATTTTTACTTAAGATATTTTCGATATCCTATATTTATTGAAGTTAAATCTTCTTCATACTGTAAGACTTCACTTTCATCAATTAACTTTTAGAATATTTGAAATTTTAATTGGTATATATTATATAAAAATATATCTGAGTTGAAAACTTTAAAATAGGCATCAACATTATATCTGAGCTTCGAAACTTAAAGTTCAATGTGCCTACACAATACGAAGTACTGAGAGAAATATGAAACGCAGATAATATTTCATCATTTTCGAAAGGAAAAAGAATCACGCAATTTAATCATAATAATCCTATTCTATATAAATATTTAATAAATGTTATATCTTTATACAATACGTAATAGAAATATCAGATTATATTAAATAGTATTTGTAACAAATAAATAATTTAAATACATACCAAAAAAAGACCAATTGCAATAAACAATTATAAAAAATAAAACCTCGAACAAAAAAATAATCTAGAAAAATTCAAATTGCATCAGTAACATTTCAATACTCCACCTATGAATTTTAAGAAAGAAGAATATCATAGAACTATTTATACTACCAATTATCACATTAAAACATCGTTAGATTGACACAAAAAAAAAATTTTCAAAGTCAAGTCATTTAGTAATTGATAATAGTTTCACATATCAGCTGAATCTGAACTGAAATCGAGATATGACCTTGTACTGGTAGCTGGCTATTGAGAAAAAAGCGTCCAGTTAACTTCAAGTATTTTAACATGTTTATAAGTACATACCTTCATTTAATTGCTAGTCGTGATTTAGAATAAACATACGATGACAACCCATTTTTTTCCTCACTAATTTAAATCGGAAAATCGATTTTGACTTTAACTCGTTTCAGAAATCTTTCGTTATACAGAGAATCGTACAGTTTGTAAATACTAGATGTCGAAAAAAGTAAATTTTTCATTTTCTAAAGATTTTGTATTCAGAAACTAATTGAATAATTATAATATTTCTCGAATGAAATACTACAGGAATTAACCGATTATAAATCGAATTGATATATCTAAAACGAAATAGTCAAATAAGATTTTCATTTTTCAATAAATAATGTAATCTAAAAAATATTTAAATTTAAGTAAATATGAATTTATTCTACAAGGATTCAGAAAAAAAAACAAACAAATGAAATAGGATAAACGGAAACTAAAGTCTCTATGTTCTTCGTTTTCTTTTTTTCCTTAGATTTGCCATTGACTTGCATTAATATCTAAACGTTGTGTTGATGGACGAGCAAGTCCATAATAATCAAGTACATGTGGCCGATCAGGAAAATAAGTACGAGATTTAAAAACTTTTTCACCAAACCATGTACCAACTTCCCAATCAGGTACATCTTTCATAAGTTTGGTTTCTTCATCACGATTAGCTCGATATTGTCGTAAAACAATACGATCTTGTTCAGCTAATATTAATGGTTCAACACATGAACGACTTTCATCCATTTCCATTTCTATAATTTAAATAGAAAAATGATTTTATTTATCGAGAAAAAATAAAATTTCTTTACCGTTTTTCCAATATTCACGTTTTTCGGACATATGATAAAAATATCCGAATATATTTGATGCAAACCAAAGGGATACAAATGGCCATAAAGGAATACGTCGGGAAGGTACACGTGCCCACGGTATTGGAGAATAACCACCCCTTGGTGGCATATCTTGACGAAAGACGGCAACTTTGGAAAAGCCCGTCATGCTTTGTAAATCTGAAAAAAGAATAAAGTTGATTATTATTAACTAAACTACAGTACTTCGAATATAATATCAGGTGTGGTTTTTGTTTGGATGATTTATACCAATAAAATCATTTGAAAATTTTCTTTTTTATATTTTAATAAAATATCTATTGGATATTTTTTAGAATTTTTAATAAGTATTTTTTCTTTGAAGTAAAATAAAAGAAGCGACATCTATAAGAAAATGCTTCTGAAGAGACAGAAAATAATTAGAAATTGTCATGTCGGACGTTTCTCTGACCATCTTGCTTCGAATACAATCGCGTGTCGAATATGGAATGATTATTTTCTCACATGTAAAATGAAAACATTATTCGTTATCATATCGATCTAAATTTTATAATAACAATAAAAATATCCAGGTTGAATTCTCTCTAAATGGTTAATTATCTAATTATAATGAAATATTCTTTCTATCCAATAATTTACAATAAACAATCGTAATTGGCGGTTGCTGTATATTATTAACTTGTTTTGTGTCAGTCATTTCAATAATAATAAGATTTAAATATATGCGCATTGGATTCTTCGTTAAAATGATATTCACATTCTATTCTACGCAAATATTTTTGATGAAAATGAGATTTATCGAAACGAAAACATAAATCGATCTTATGTAAGGTGTCTAGATTATAAAATACTGGTAATCAATGGTAATAATTTCTATCTCAAATTTTGAGTGACAAGGAAAACAGCAAACTTCGCCAGATTTTATGAAACATCATAAAGAAGTGATAAGCCAGAAAACTTACGATTGAAATTTGAGTTCTAAGGAATAATATATCTCGAACATAGACATTTTATTGTCTGACGAAACAAATAGCAGATTGTTTTTATCCAAGAAAAATTGATGTGATCTCAAATGTAAATTTATTTGATACCGGACAAAATATTCTATCATTTTACCGCTCTACATTTCCTTAATATTACAAAACTATGGACAAATAAGGAAGGTTCTTACTGAAACGGTAGTCATTTTTTTGAAAAATGATGCTGATAATTCAGGTAATATTTCTACTGAAATTCTAATAAGTCGTGCTATATTTTTATTCCATCAAATAAATATGTAAAAGTTCGAATCTTTACATAAAAATGCAATTAGACTTGCAAATCTTGATTTATGCTGCAGCTGGCTTGTATATTCCCTTGTTTAGAGACAATTTCATATCTATTTTTATATTCAAAATGAATATGTTTAACAACGATTGTGTATATATATATATATTTTATTTAACATAAAAACAACATCAAACAACAATTTTCTATACATACAAATTACACACAAAAATATTACAAAAAAAGTAAAACATACATAAAAATAAACTAAACAGGATTTGTCTCCCAATGTGTCCAAAAATTAGTATTGATGTGTACTTTAGGTAAATATCGTTCGGATAATAATGAATTTATTCGCCCTGATAATGAATTTTCTTTTGGTATATGTTTTAACCAAACCATACGCTGCATAGAATGAAGTGTATTAGATTCATGTTGTTGTCTTTGATTAATTTCACACTAGATAAAAAGAAATAAATAAAACTCAATAAATAAAAAATATTTTTTTTTACACTAAGACGTTTATATTTAAGATTAGAATCTTCAAGCCATTTTATAATTGAACGTCCATTCCCTCGATGTTTACCACGTTTACCTAATTCTGTATTAATATACTCATTATTAATAAATGATGATTGACGTTCTTGTACTGATGGATTATTATAAACTTCATTATCTTTTAATAATGAACAATAACTAAATGGTATATCTTGATTTATTGATGAACGTTCAGCATTACCATATAAACGTAAAATATCTTGTTCATGAGATAAAATTAATTTTTCCTGGATAGAAAAAAAATGAATAAATATTTATTAAATAGAAAATTTTGAAATTTACTCGTTCAACTTGATGTCTTAACCTCATTCGATATCTTTCATCTTCTTGTCGTGTGAATATATCCAATAAATGCATGTCAAGATCAGACGGTGGATTAAGACGTTTAATACCAAGTGATGCTGGTGTTGTTATTGAACATGATTTCAATGATGGAGCTATTAAATATGTCTTCTTTGCCATCATTGTTTCTGCGAAATCTTTTGGAACTTTTGGTGGAACGAAATCATGTAACATAGCTTCATGACGCTTGTGAATCTGTGTAAAAGAAGAAATGGTTTCGTTTTTGTTTTGTAATTTATAGTCTGTCTGTGGTTTATTATGTGGGTCTAATGGAAACCGAGAGACTCATCCTCTCAGATATTTGAAACTAATCTGTATCTTAAAAAGCATCTTGTAACTACGATTTCATATTGTTATTAAAATTAAAATTAGCTGTACCGATAAACCCTTTCTATTCAGAACTATGACTATTAACTAAGGTTATCGAGTACATTATTTCGATATTTATTGATATATGAGTCATATATTATTTCAATTTTCGAACCTGTTGACGAATTTCAAGAAATTGTTTGATACCATTTACTGGTATATCACGTGTTATTGTTTCTATTGAAACATTTTCTTCTGCTGAAGAAGAATTTATTGTATTAGATCCATCTGTAGAATTTAATAATCCAGTATTTTTTTCACGTAATCGACGTTTATCTGTTGCTAATAAATCCATATCTGAATGGTTATGTACTATTGAGTTAATTCCATCATTACTTGTAGTATTTGTATCATCCATAGATTCAGTTTTACCATGTAGATTTTCACTTGTTTGATCATCGAAATTACTTGATGTTTCACTATATTGTGAAGGTTCCGATAGTGTTTTTTTTCGTTGAAATCTTTCATTTATACTTTTATCTAAAATACGTCGTCGATTTGATACACGTCGATAATCATTCGAACATTGATTTGATATTAATGTATTTAATTTTCCTTTTGCATGTGAACGTAACGTACGTGTTGTTATTTTTAATTCATTCTGTTTTTCTTTTTGTATGATTTCATTTGTTTTGAGTAATGTTAATGGAATACTAGTAGTTGGATCTATTTGTGTTATTATATCATTAAGTAATGTTGAAATAATCATATGAGTTGATTGCTTCTGTAATTCATTAATGTTTGATACTATTGAACTCTTTTCATCACTCGATAAAAGAATGTTTTCATCTTGTTTTTTTCCAAGGGTCATGACCTTATTGTTGAAGTCACTAGATGTTATGACTGTCGATAAGAACTTTTCATTTTGTTCTATTATTGGTAGTGATAATGTTTCCATTAAGGAATTATCATCCATAGTTGATGAATTATTGCTAGAAAAAACAAAGTAGAAAATTATTTACCGCTTGTTGTAATAATGAGAAAAAAGGTAGATTTGTTTTGAAGTAAAAGTTCATAGACGTTGTCTACTGACTTAATTTTTTTTTCCTTATCCTGGAGTGTAGATGTCTAATAAACAAGGACACATAAAGAGAACACGAAGGAAAAAAATGTCATTTTCTTGTTCTTACGCATACATACACATCATTCATATGACCGTATATTTAGGTAACTCCTCGTTTTCGGTCATGTTTGAATTATTTAACATATGTATCCGGACAAATTTTTTTTTACTATTTTTATCTTTAACATCGAGATAACTTAGTAAAACATTTAAAAACCAAAAAAAATGAATTTCCCTGATTTATTTGATGACTTATGAGTCATATATTTCACTCAAGTAAATAATCTGATTTCATCACAAAGGTCAACGTAGTGTAATTTCATAAACGAAAAAAAAAAATACAATAAATTTTAATGAGTTAAACTATGTGATCTATCTAAATATTTGTTCGTTTTATTATCGATCTATTAATTTCTTATATTCTTACTATGTTTTCATGTGCGTGATTTCCTTTATAATAATATCTAACTTATACTATAACACACTCACTTCTACAGCTTTGATGTCGAACAGACAAACACACTTTTTTTTCTCTCTCTATGTTTTTGTTGCCTTTCATGTTCCTTTTTTTTCCTTTCTTTTTCTCGACACGATTTCTTTTCTTTCTGACTAAACTATCTTCATTATATTCCGCTCTTTTTTTTATACGCATGCATGTTATTCATTGTAAACTAATGATATTTATATATAACGTACGAAAAAAACATAATTCGAATGCACTTTTATTCAACATACATAGATAGTAGCCCGCATATTACTATTCTCTTCATTAGTTAATCAAAGACTATTCAATATTAAACTCAATGAATCTATGTTACAAATAATATTTAAATAGAAATGTTCTTTTATCCTTTCGAGTACTTAGTCAAACGTAGATAATCTATTCTACAATGAAATAATAATTATACTAAATTAGTAATTGTTACATTTTGAACAAATAAAAATTATTAATTTATGAAATAATTATTAGATGTTATAAATAGAAATAATATTTGATTTCTAATTGTGTTAAATATCAAATTAGTTTAATTGAATTATATTTACAGTTTAAAAAGAAAATTATGGAATGAAATACTATTGTTTATCAATATTCCCACAGATATCTGTCAAGTACTACGTACTTTGTTATCTTATCTTTTATGATGAATATTAATCATTGTTTTCATTCTTACGAAGAAATATCTCAAATGTTCTTTTTACTTTCTAAAACGAAGAATTTTAAACATTTCCTAAATTCTTAGCTTTATTAATAAAGTCATATATATTTTATAACGAATTATTTATTAAAGGGATAAGATGATATGTGTCATATTATGGTTGATAATAAAAAATGTGTCATAATTATATTTTTTTCTTTTCTAATAACAAAACAAAACTACTGGCAATTACCGGAAGTCTGTATTGTGAAGTTCCTGTTTTCTTATTTTTTATGAAAGTTTAATTTAATATAACTAATATTTTTTGTTTTTGAAGTATAAAAAAAATTTACCTTTCAGTATCGGTATTTTTGTGTGAAATAGTTCGAGCTAAAACAATTTTTAATGGTGGTACCCGGTGGATATTTTCATTATTAAATGGTAACTGTTCTTTGAATGAATGAATTGAATTTTTAATATCATTACTGTCATTTGAGGTACCACTAGTTGTTCGTTGTTTTGAATTTTCAACTCTTTCATCATCATCATCATTATCATCATTAACATCATCATCATCACTTTCAAAATCATATGGATTTTTTCTTGATAAATCATTAAATACTGTATAAGTTTTATTATTTGCTATTGAATCCGATGAATATTCATGAAAATGATGAAATGGTTTTTTTGAAATATATGATGATGATGAAGATTGTACAAGATTCTTATCGATCTTTTCTTCTTCATGTTCCGAATCATCGATACTTGTCATTGGTGATGATGGACTTAATGAATCTTCATCATTTTCATTATCAGATACATCCAATGTTGTTATTTCACGTTTTAATACTTTGATCATCGGTTCATTTAAACGACTAAAATCAACAACTGATGTATCAGCGGAATAATTTAATAATAATTCAACCATCTATAAAATAATAAAAGAAAATAACAATTGTTTTTTTAATTAAATATAAAATTTACTTTAGTATTATTATTAAGAACAGCATCGACCAATGGAGTTTGTCTTTCAGGACCAGGTGCATTTGCATTAGCACCCGATTTTAAAAGAAGACGAGCAGCTTTAAATTGATTTTTAGTGACAGCTAAAATATATATTATAGAACATAACATTGATGATAGTTATGTATCGATTACAACAAGCGAAGTATATACAAATGGTTGATAGAAAAATAAAAGATTCATTGTAAAATAATTTACTGATAGATTTTCTCTTCGAAAATTTTATATTAATACGCTAATAAAATAAAATCAATTCGTCTAGTATATGCACATAGATGATATTCTTTGAAAATGGATAATAGTTAACTCCACTGAAACATTGAGAGTAATTCGTGTTTCTATTAGGTTTATTTGAGATAAAATTGGAGTCTAAATGGAATCGGAAGAGTTAACGGAATGCTTCCTGCTCATCCGAAGCTAACTGGCGTCACTGAAATTTATCAGCATTTGTTTGAGATACTCTAGATTCGATAAACATTAATTTCAAATACTAAACTTATTTAGTTCGAAAATAAATGTCAATGACTTCAATGAACTTCATACAATCAGTGAAGTTAGCTACTTCTCTCATAGTTTATGCAATATTCTACATTCAAGGAAACGAAAAGAGAAACTTTTCTTTATTTATCAGTTTTACATTGAAGCAAGTCTATCTATATCATTCTTCAAGTTAAATTCAAATGAATTACCTTCATGTAATGGCGTCCATCCTATAACACAAGAAAAAGTGAACAAACTCCTCTATTATTTCATATTTTTTTACCAGCATTATCTTCTTCATTAACATTTGCATTGTCCTTCAATGCTTTCTTTAATTGTTTCAAATCTCCTTTTCTTGCAGATGTATGAAGAATTGTTTCACCATGTTCATTACGTCGATGAATCTTTGTTGGACGTTGTTGTTGTGTACCTCCCGAACACGATGATACAGAACCAGCTTTATATATAAAACAAAAAATTAGTATGAAAAAAACCGATAATATTTTAAAATTTAGAGTCTCATACAATTTGATTCATCACCAGCTGTTAATTGTTTAAGTACAGCTAATTGTTGTCGTTCACTAACAATCAAACGATGTGATGTTAAATCCGCCGTGGCTGATCCACGTCGTTTATTAGTTAATTCAGAATTTGAATTTAAAACTTCTTCATTATCATCATCAAATTCATTAATTGAATCAGCTGTTGGATAACGTCGTCTTTTTCCTGTTGTTGTCATACTTGAATAGGAAGTTTATGTCAAAAACAAAATGCTTTTCTTAAGAATCTTCTTCTTCTATCATTTATTCATTCATTCATTGGCAGGTATTATTTTTATTGGTTAAAATCTTGCGTCAATCAAATTTTATTATAAGATGTCACTTTATAATAAGTCCTTCTAGTCTACCAATCATTAGAAACCTTTTTATTTTAAAATACAATATCATCGTTTTTTTTTACCGTCAACCTTATTGTGATATTAAAAAACCTTCAACAGTAAAACTATGGTTAACAATCAACAATCCACATCATTAGAAAGTGGACTACCAACTGTAGGATCAGTTGTAAGAATTTTAAAATAATTTATTTTTAATATTGATGAAATAAGGGTTGTATTTTAGGTTTGGGCTGCTGGTCGTACTCGTGCACAACAAGCATTGAATGTTTATGCTAATCTTGATTATCTCCGTCCATATTTTGATGTTGAACCAAAAGAAGTTGTTCAACGGTATGTTAAGAAAAACAAAAATATTGTTATATTTTTTCAAATATTTTAATATAATTTAGATTAGTTCGTTCTTTGATACCTCGAAGTTTACCCCGAGAAGAAGTAAATACTATAGATTATTATATTTTTATCAAAATATTTCATTTAGAATGTCAAACCAGAATTATATGGACCATCGATGATTGTATTTACATTAGCCGCTATTCTTATTTATCAAATGAAGTTATCAAGTCATTCCGTTGTATGTAATCAATATTAAACGAAATGATTGAATTATATCGGTTTTTTTCGTTACAGCAAGATGGAACTTTAATAGGTACAAGTTTCTTAGTTTGCTTTGGATTTTGGATTGGTTCTGGCTTTGCCATATCATCGTTTACATTTGTTTGTAATACACAACTCAGTCTTATGCAAATTCTTAGTATTAACGTTAGTTGGAGAAATATTTAAATTGAATATGGAGTTCATATAAATTTTATTCTTTTTAGGGCTACGCACTTTTTAGTCATTGTGTTGTTTTATTAATTTCGACATTTATTCATACGGGTCATGATCATATGTTATTTTATGGTCTTTGGGCAATTGTTGGTGGTTTAGCTGCAGCTCGAATGGTACGAAGTTTTTAAAGAATTCGTAGAGAAATCATAGTCTAAATTGAGAAGTATCTATGTAAATGAATATGATGGTTTATATTTACAAAAGAGACTTTAGAATTTTGTTTTATTACTTTGATTGATACATAACGCTGTAGCTTGGTAAAGACCGAAATGGATTCATAGATACACACGAGAATCATTTCAATAGTAACTTTCAATTAAATCCTACCGAAACTGGATGATGAGATAGCATCAGGTTCTTTAATGTAAAAATTCTATTAGATCTATTAGAATGACTCGAATGATTAGATTTATTCACCTAGGTACCTAATGTATGCAGAATTTTATGACTCCGAGACGTGTTATTCTTCAGATTTGGAAGCGCCATTTTTTCGTAGAGAAATTTATAATAATAAACTTCCTATGTTCAAAAAGTCCTACTCAATTATTGCAGGCATGAATTGATAAATTGATCTTTTAATAATACTCCTGATTCAGAATCTTGAATAACCAATTTTTGATTTTGTCATATTATTTTTTATTCATAACTACGACGAAAAACGATCATTTTTCCGTACTCTTTTCCTAAAAACCCATTAATTTAGTTCATCTCTTTCTCATAGTCATTGGTTATAATGTCTCGAACCACGAATCGACATCATCGTATTCTTCTTGGCCTTATGATCATTGCAATTCATATGATATTTTTACTTTATCTTCATTTTGCTTATCATCAATTAGCTGAAAGTATATTTTAAATCAATAAATCTTATTTCTTTTTTACATTTTTCGAATATTTATAGCTGTTGCTCATGCATTAAATAATGAACAAGTAGTTACTGCTAGTTTACCTGTTAAACCAATTGCACCTATACTTGCTAATTTAACACAATCAAAACGTAAATATTCATTTTTTTTAAATATATTTTAATTTCCAATACGTTTTTTTAAAGCTCTCCTCCGACAAATACGCAGTAAACTGAATAATTCCACTATAACCACTGTAACAAAATTAATTACAAGTGTTAAACCATAAATAAAACTTTCCATTTGACATATGACAAAGAAAATCTCGTTTTCTTCTTTTTTTCATTTCTTTTTGCTAATTATATTAAATTAACATTTGAACAAAAGCCATATTCTTTTTTTATTCATAATAAATTAATAACATATTATTTAGATAATACATTATGCGTCTTTATTGTCTATCAGATGATCCAAATCTCCCATGTTTTATATTAACTGTGAATGGTCGTTCAATACTTCTCGATTTTCCTCTACCAACTGATCATTTACTTGATTATTTACCTGTTCCATCACCTGGTTGTCTAAATCATTTTTCATTATTACCAAAATATACATTATTATCACATAATAAAGAAAATAATCTTCCACAACAAATAGATGAATTACGTATTTCACATAATCAAATCTATGTTTATTCTCCTATTGAATTTTATACATTAGATTCTAATCAATATGATTTTTCATTAATTGATATAATACTTATATCAAATTATGAAACATTTCTTGCTTTACCATATTTATATAAAAAATATAAAAATTTAAATGCACAAATTTATTTAACTGAACCAACATATCGTTTTGGTCAACAACTTATGTATGAATTAGTAAATTATGTTGAACAACAATCAAAAATGATTCAAATTAATAATGAATGGAGATATGATTCATCGATATTTGATGCTATTGAAAGTCAACAAAATGAAAAAAAATTAAAAATATTGTCTTTTGCACAAAAATTAATGCCTTGTTATTCAATTGAAAATGTTGATAAATGTTTACGTCATACAACTGTTGTACATTATAATGAACAAATCGATTTGTATAGTTCAATACGAGCAAGTGCAATCAGTTCAGGATATTGTTTAGGTACTATTTCATTTTAACAGTCAAATTTGAGGGTGGGTGTGGGTGTGGATGTGGGTGTGGGTGTGGGTGTGGGTGTGGGTATGGATGGAAGTGAGAGTGTGAGTGTGGGTATGGTGAGTGCGGATACTATCCTTTTCACTCTCACTCACATTTTCACCCACACTCTTACTCATACTCTCACTCATACCCACCCACTCTCACTCGCACTCCCATTCACACCCACCCGCAATCGTACCCACCCACACTCGCATCTACACGCACACTTGCACCCACCCACACCCACACCCACACCCACACCCACCCACGTCCCTAGTTGCATATTTCTATTTATTTTTCAAATCATTTTAGGTAGCTGTAATTGGCAATTAGATATCAATGTCAATCATAATCAAACATCAAAAATAGAAAGTTCATCTTCTCAAACAAATCTATCACGTTTTATTTATATGTCATCAAGTACAACTCTTGAAACTTATTCATCAAAATTTCTCTATGATTCATTTCAAAATTGTGATTATTTACTTTTAACTAATTTATCTCGTATATCATCTATTGATGTAAGTTCAAACGCAAGTGAATTAACTGCAAAAATTGAAAATATTCTTAATGATCATGGTAGTGTTTTAATACCATGTTCATCAACTGGTCTTATTTATGATATGTTTGAATTTTTTACAAAATATTTCGAACAAATTAATCTTTTAAATATTCATATGTATTTTATATCTCCAATAAGTAATGCAAATCTATCAATATCAAATGCTATGTCAGAATGGGTTAATGAACAACGACAAGTAGCATCATTCAGTGGTACACCACCATTTAAACATAATGAATTAATAAAAAGTAAATGTTTAATAACAATTCCATCGGATCGTTTAGATGATACAGAAACATTAATTAATTTCGAACAACCATCTATTATATTTACTGGACATACATCATTACGTTTCGGTCCAATTGTACAATTAATTGAAAAAATGAAAATTTCATCATCAAATGGTATTATATTTGTTGATAATCAATATTCCTATATTGATGCATTAAAACCTTATCAACCAATAAATATGAAGTGTTTCTATGTACCTATTGATACACGTTTAAATAATTCACAAATAAATATTTTATTAAATGATAAAATTCGACCAAAATCAGTTATTTTACATGAACAATATGCAAATGATATAGGTAAAAATGACAAATTTAATGTATTAACATATAGAAAATATGATAATATAAAATTACCAAAAATAAATCGTCAATTTATAAATGGACAATTGAATATTAAAAATGATATTAAAGCAAAATTAATTTCATCAACAAATATTGCTATTGCAAATATTCGTGGACATTTAGATATGTGTGATTATGTATATGATATTAATGAAATTAATGATGAAAATGCAAAACAAAAAGATTTTATAACTTATGGAAGAGTTGATATTGATAAATTTTTAATTAATCTTTCTAAAAGTGGTTTATTTGGTTTAGAAGTTAAACAATTACATGAATATAATGATGATTTAGATAATAATGAACAATTAAATCGATCTGTTGAAATAAAATATAATCAAGGTGCAGCCAAAATTCTTGTTCGACCAAAACAAACAGATATTGAATGTAATGATCCAGCATTAATGACAAAAATTCGTGATGCTTTATTAATGGATAATATAGGAACATTGTGAATACTAGTCTTTTTTATTTAATAAAAAAAAAGCAAAGTCATGTTAATAGGGTATGAAAAGGAGTGTTTTATCCAATGGGTGGGCGGCACCCACACGAATAACACTAATGAAAAGTTATACTTTTTTCTTGAAAGATTTAAATTATCTTAGGAATGTGTAGTCTTAAAACATATTAATTGTACATATCGATATTCAAAACTTTATGTGAGAGGTTTCTTTTGAGTTAGAACTGTTTTATTGTAGAATAAACTTAACACATAATTGATATCTCAAACTTCTTCTGATAAGATACTAAAAGTTTCAGCTCAAATCGACCTATGTCTATTATGATATTTTTTTGTATTATAAAGTTTTATATTAATTTTATTTTTGATATGACTCTACAATATAATGTCATGAGGTGCTGATAGTTGTTTTTGCTAGAAAGGACGAGGAATACGTAGAAGAATTTGACTGGAAATGTCCTTAAAAAATCCACTGCAACTTTTTTGAACTTTGAAACATTATCATATAATTTAGACAGGTTAATTTTTTATTCGTCTAATTGAAATTTTATTATGTAAAGAGATATGGCGTCCATTGAGCGAAAGTCACAACTGCGAAGCACCTTTCGCCCTCACCCTCATTTTTCATTCATACCCTCATCAAGAAGAATCATTTCGTTGACTTGCCTTTTGTTCATTTTCCACCATACTATTTTCTTGTATACATATGATGTTCGAAAGAGTAGGAATCCAGACAATGGAGATGACCAAATAAACATTCATAAACAAAAAAATATGATCAGAGTTAACGAAGATTGTTCTTGCATCTTCTTTTCTAAGACTTTTTTGATCTTTCTAATAAAAAAAACATAAATTTTCTGTGACATTGTATGGCAAAGTTATATCAACAATAAAACTTTTACACTACCCGTTCATGAAAAGATGTCGAACAATTGTTTAATCGATTTTAATGAAATTAATCATAATATCCATTGCGATGATTTTCTGAATACATCGTTTTTAGTATTCGTCATCAATGAATAAATTCTGTATACATACAGTTCTCTTTGCATATTCCTTATTGATTTTTTCAATGCAATAAACTTGATCGGTAGTAGATATACATATAACAAAAATAACAGATGAAATATTATATTTTTCAACACAATGTGTAGATATTTACAATAATACTCTCTCGATATCTGAAAAGGCTATTCTACAAAAAAAATTTCTACCGACAATTGATTTTGAATTAACTTTATAATTTTCATCTGGCACTCGATTAAAAATTCTATCTGTCTCTACTATACAATCAATTTTTACATTTTAAAAGTTTTCATACTTTATATTTCTTCATATTTTGTTAGAATAATAAAATATATATGTTGAGAATTTTGTCTGGTTTAAAAATTTTATATTTTATTTCGTTTAAAACTATTCAAGTATGGTCCATATTAAACGAAAGTATGACAATGTGCTGTTATTCGTTAATTTATTGAAAACAAGTCGTTACCACGCATTACCTATGTCAACAAACAATTTCATTTTTCTTTGTAAAGAAGAATGTAAAAGAAATTTCGAAAAAAAAATTATATTGTACATTTATCAGGAAAAAGAACGTATAGAGTGACGAAATGGCTACTGCAAATCCACGTGAGATATAAAAGAAATTTTATGTTTAATTTAAATTTATTTCTTTTTTAGCTTATCAATCATTTCTTTTGGATGATGATGAAGAACAATCTATTAGTGGTTTTAATAATCCAAATAAAAGATCAAGTTTTGAAAACACTAGTTCAACAATAAAACGACAATTTCCTGAAAAAACTAATTCAACATTAATTCAACCATCACAAAATGTATCTGATTTATATACTGGAGTTAATCCATATTTAGCAGATAATCCATATCAACAGCAATATCAACCTGTTGATAATAATTATCCGACATATCATAATCATAATGAACATGTACATGTACATACACAACCAGAAGGTGAACATTATCATCATCATCATCAACATATTCATAATCATGGTCATGAACATGTACATGAACATGAACCTCCACATCAACACACACATGTACACGAACATCAGCATCATACACATGATCACCAACATCATCAACATACACATGACCATCAACAACATCAACACATACATGATCATGATCATCAACATGATCAACATCATCAACATATACATACACCTTCCATTCCACCTCCATTTCCACCTATTCAACAACATCATAATGGAATGAATTCATCAGCACTAACTATTCGTCGACATAATACTACTGATCCACTATTATACAGTTTTCCAAATGTTTTCTCACCAATACATACTTTTTCACCAGATCATATGTATGTACCACCACCAAATAGTGTGCCTGCACCACCAAATCTTCATGTTACTATAAGACGGAATCCACCTCCAACTGAGCATACTCTCATTCAACCTATTCTTTATCCTGTTGCTGTCTACACCAATGCTCCTCAACCCATTCAAGATAATTCAAAGTCATATTCCTCAAAAACAACTCGAACAAAACCGTCAACACCAGTTAGAACCTCACCTATTCCTCCAGTAAGACCATCAGGTAGATCACCACCTCTTGTACTACCACCAGTTCGTCATCAACCAGGACAACATTCACCACCGCCACCAACCGGTAGAAGTGCAGTAGGTCGAAAATCATCTATTCGATTTGACACATTAGGACAAACAGTACGCAAAGTTATCAGAGTACCAGCTCGACCAGGCACTAGAGTTCATATTCAAGAACCATCTAATTCTAATCGACGAAGATCATCCGTTCATCCTGGTGCTAGCAAACAAGTTGCCTATCGCGTAGCAACTGGTAAGACAACACGAGAATTAGAAAATGAAGAAATAGATGATTCAGGAGCTCCTATTTTTGTGCAAACACCACGACTTCAAACAGTTACTTATAGAACTTAGTATTTGGTTTTTCATCAATTATAATATCTATATCATGTTTGCAAATAAATAAACAATTAAATTAATTTTGACTATTTCTTTTATTTTGTTGTATAATATTTATACAATCAGTTTTCTCCTTATTATCAAATACAGACTTTAAAAGAGTCATTATTGTGTATATTATACACATAAATCAAACATTCATTTTTCTTTATATTAAAATTTTTTATTCTAATAATTTACATGTTATTAAACATTTCATCATAAAAAGCATTTGTCATTATTTTTCCCGATGATAATTTACTGTTTTTTATTTTTGTACGTTGATTATCAGCTTTAATATCTTCTATTTGTAAATCACTGGATGTATCTTCATGTGTTTTCGAAACAATCTGTGAAACTGATGGAGGTGGATGAGATTCAGTTACCACTGTACGACGATCATTTGACGACGAGATTATCGTTTTATTATCGATAGGTTTCGTTTGTTTGTTCTTTTTTGATATATCCACCTCTGTTGAAGATTTGCCAGTATTTTGTTTTGTTCCGGTAGAAAGAGTTTTCGTCTAAAAATAATTTATAATACATTTTTATTTAACATGAATAATCCTTAATCGGTATCATTACAAAAATCTGATGTTTTCTATATACAAATATTAGTTCAACAATAAATATTGAAAGGTTTCAGAGTGTTTTATGACTTCGTCGATTAAATATTTATTTATCCCAATAAGGTTTTTTTATAACAAAGAATTTGTTTTTCATTCGATTTATTTCTAATATAACATCATAGGATGAAACAGATCGTATGATGATTGACTATATTCTATCAGAAACACTTTGCATTAGTATAGGAAAGTTAGTTAAATAACAAGTAATCAAAAACGACTAGTAAGTAGTTTTTAATTTATCATTATTGATGAAACTACGATTCAAATTAAGTAATGGACGATCATCATAAAGTAATTTTTAAAAACTATCTATACATGTACTTACTGAATCAATTTTCTCATTTATTTTCTGTTCAATGGATGATACTGGTTCGACTGTATCTGAAACTGATTCCATATAGTAAAATTCAGGTTTTGATAAAATAATCGGTTGTTCTTTATTATCTGAAATTGTTCTCATATTATTTACTTCAGATTTTGCTGATATAACTTCAACAGGTTTTGTCAATGGAACAGTTTTAGTATCTGGTTCAGTTTTTAATGTACCATATTGTTGCATATGTAATTGTTCATTGATATCTGAGAAATATTGTGGATATAAATAATATCCATATGGTGTATACATTAATCGTGGTTTTTGATGAGGAATTTTCTTTTTCGGATGTTCTTGTCGATATTTTTGATACCATAAACCAATTAATATTATCTGTATACCAAGATAAAATGCAAATGCACATATACCAATACCAGCTAACGTACCACTATTTTTTGTTGGATCAGGATATTCTTAAAAAAAAAATAATTTGATTAAAAAATAATCATAATAAAGAATTATTTACTTTGACCATAAAAAACAAGACACATAATTAAAAATATTCCAGCTAGAAATATAAATACGGTCATACCAATATAGAATATGTATGCACCTGTTTGATTTAAACCAAATGGTCCTACATAGGAATTGTCATCATATATAATAGGCTAATATTCAGATAAAAAATATAACAAAAAAAATTCATCGTATTTATTTAATCTTACTCCAATTGCTACAACTCCTTGTTTATTAAATAGTGTTCCTGTTTTCCAATATCCATTTATTGGTTTTGTATCTTCTTCTACAACTTTTGTTACTGGCTGTTGTTGTTTATTTACTTCTGTTGATACTGGTTGTTGTTGTTGTTGTTGTTGTTTTTTATTTATTTCTGTTGATGTTGGTTGTGGTTTAACTTTACTAGATAGATATTGATTTGCGTAACTAGCTGAAGGTTTATTCGATTCGAGAGGTTTATTTGATTCGAAAGGTTTATTTGATTCCATATATCTATTAGCTTCGATATGTTTATTTGGTTCGAAATGTTTATATGATTCGATATGTTTATTATCAAAATTCGAAAGCGAATGTGTTGTGGAATGAAAAGCTTGATTATTAAGATTATCATTCATAATTAATTTTGGAATATTTCTTCCAGCTGGATCACGTAGAACAGATTTTTCTTGATTGTTGTTAACTTTTTGAGTAATATCATCATCTGGCAAACCTTGATTTGTATTAATATTAGTTAGTAATCTGTCTGATTTTGTTGTTGGTTGTTTAGTTAATTGTTCATAATTTGATGATGATATAACTGACCGTGATAAGAGTCGCTGTGCGGATGGTTGTATTATTGGATTATCTAAGCGACTGTCAAGATATTGAGGATTATAGGAATCAGATGAATACATAGATTGAGTTGCTGGAATCATTTTTATATGTATTTATAATGATAAATCTGTATAAAATTGAGCAAGTGAACGGTATGATGATGTTTTACGTTAAAGAAAAGTAACGTGTTTCGTTGTTAACCAAACGTATGTTGTTAGTTTTATTATTGAAGACATTCGCTTAGTTGTAAAGCAAAAGGATAATCGAAACATTTTCGTTCTGCCTTTCGAAAAAAAACTCCGTTTAACATAATATTTTAAGTTTACATTGTAAAAATATGAAGCACATTGTTTTTCAAAGAGAAAATAAATAACAAAATGTGTGGACTATGTGATAGAAAACAAGTAGAGTGAATATTTTAATTTTACATTGAAATTTAAATTAATTTTTAGGTAGAGTTTAGGAGTGTCTTGCATAGAAACTGTTGAATTTTTTATTCATGAGATTGAACAATCATTATAGAATCATATATTGTAATATCAAATCGATTTGATAGAAATGAATCTATTGGTTACAAGTAAACCTAACTGCAACAATATTTACCTTTATCAATATTTTTTTCTACTCTATGTACACGTACTTTTGTTTAATAAATATTTTGTACTCATTAATCTAGTCTTTATTGATGTTTTGCGTAAATAAATATATTCACCATACCGGCAAAACTAGTGTGAAAAAATTTAGATTTTTATTCATGTAATGATGTTGCAAACAACGAGGCAAATTATTTTATTTATCATAATTTCATCTTAAATATTTGATTTTAACTGAATAAATGACTAACGTATGTTATAGTTTGTATCGATCAAATAAAATGTATATATACATAATTATACCTTGTTTACTCATTTTCATACAAAGCCTAGAGCTGAAACATTATATTTATTATACTAACACGTGCACCTGTGTATCGCCATGCATGACTACATGTAATCAACCTTGCATTTTTATCATGTTTACATATATAACATAGTCTTTCTGTCGAAAAAAAAATGGTTCATTTACAATGGGGCTTATATGCTTTAATACCATCATTGATTATATTAATACTTGCTTTCTTATTTTTTTTTATAAAACGACATCGTGGTCATGGTTATTTTCTTTCAAAATTTTCTGCTTTTACTCGTATACGTTTTAATCATCTTGAGCAAAGACGACAAACTTATTGTCCGGCAAATCAAGATTGTCAATGCCATCCAGTAGATTCTTCTTCACATATACAACCAAATTTATCATGTACACATCGTTCACCAACATTATATATGAGTTTTGCTGGTGCTGCTATGATTGTTGGTGGTGTACGTACAACAGAATGGTGTGGTTCAATAAGTCAATTGCATGATCAGACAGATAATTCATTTGATGTATTATTTTTAACTGATCCAGCACAATGCTTTTATTTACAAGATCCAGATTATAAATGGCAAGGTTTAATATATTATCGAAATTTAGTAAAAACTTATTCCACACTTTATCAACGTGTTATTTTAATTGGTGCAAGTCTTGGTGGTAGTATGGTTTGTATGTGTGCTGATTTAGCAACTATATCAATTGCATTTAATCCAGTATTAGATCCAACATTACTTGGTTTACCATGGCGTATAATGGGTGCATTTTGTCCAGCTCGACAAGCACAAGTTATTCGTGAACAAGTACAAACTAATATGGAAAAAATCAAATCGGAAAAAGTCAATCATAATTGTGTACTTCACATACATTGGAGTCAATTATCAGCACCTGATCAAAGACAAGCTCATCGAGTTGTTGGTGGTGGTAAACAAAAGAAATCGAGACAAAAAGAATGTTTAACATTAGTTTCAGATTTTGATATTAATAACCCATGTCTAAGTAGTCCGGTAGGTGTTTATGTATGGTTTCATCGATGTTCTCGCCATGCATTAGCAATGCACTTAAAACGTAGTCGTCAATTAATACCTTTATTACGACATCATTTAGGTGTAAAATCAGAAAGTATTCCTCAAAATACTAGTCAAGAAAAAGAAGAAGAAGAAGAGCAAGCAAAACAATCAACTGTTATTGATATGTCAACATTAGCTGAAGTTAATGATACAAACGAACATGAAGTTCGTGTACCGTTGATTTAAATTTTTTATTAATATTTCTAATAAAAAACATAATCTGTTGTTTTAAAACAGAATAAAATGATAATGAACATCTTTTATTTCATTTTTAAAGTAGTAAACCATAGTATATATCCAATGATAAAGTTCATGTGTTAAACGTTCTGATTGATAACTGTTTATCTAAGCTAACTGTTCGCAGTGGTGGTAATCTTTCTGATGGTTTGTGTTGTTGTTTTTTTAATTGTAATAATAATGCCTAAATAGAATTTATAAAAAATAAAGGCGACTGCAAACTTCATAATAAAATTTTGCCCAGGAATGAGACGTATGTAGGCTTGTAGAGAAACTTTTTCTCTATCGAATGATATATATACCATCGCTTTTCGGCTTGAATTCAAGCTAGTTAGAGACATGCATCCAACTTTCTTTTGTGTCCGTGAACCTCAATAAAACATAGACGTGAACCTTCGGAACACATCAGTTTGTAGAAAAACATCAGAGAACAAAACCTTCACCTCAAAAAAAATGAATTACAGGCAAGAGATTTATTTGACTCCGATACAGGTCTCTAATTGGCTTGAATTCAAGTAAAAAATCGCTTTTTACAGTACTCAACAGAGTTCGATAGTATATCTTTTATAATAAAGTAAAATCTTACTTCAGCAATACGAACTCTTTGTGTCCATATATCAATTTCTTGTTCTAAAACTTTTCTTTGTTTAATAACATGAGCATATTCTGTAATAGTTGGAACTTTCATAACATCTTCAATACGAATTTTTAAGCAATTATTTTCTTTTAAAATTATATCACATTCTTGCTGAATACCGTAAATTTCATTATTTGTTCTTTCAAGAAGATATTGTATTGATTCACATTTTTTCTCCATATCATTTATATGTACTTCTTGTTCATTTAAAGATTCTTTATCATCTTGTAAACGACGAAATAATGGATATTGAGATAATTTTTCAATTCGATATTCTTTATCAACTTTTTCATAAATTTCACTATTTGCAATTTTTCTTGTACGCTGTGATACGATATCAACTTCTTCCATTCTAAGATTTAAATCATCTAAATGACGTATTTTTGCATTGATCTCATCAATACGTATATGTAAACGTGTTGTATTAACACGTAAAAGACCAATTGCACCCATACGAGATTGTATACGTTTAGTAATACGATCAACAAAAAGTTCACCTGGAACTTGCATATGTGGACTATTAAATTCTTCTTCACCAATATTAGCACGATACTTTTCCACACGTTTTCTTAATTCACGATTAAGAGTTTCTTGAGCAAATTCATCAGATTCAATAGATTGATATGAAATCTAAATTAAATTTTCATCGAATTCTAAATATGTAAATTATACAAATAAATTTTACCTCGAAAGTATAAATTGCTGCCAAAGCTTTTGTACTCATTCGTTCCCATTCTAATCGTGTTTGTTGAACTTCATAGGCCACAATCGCGAAACGTTCTTGTTCAGTAAGACTTAAAATATATGGTGTAAACATAAGTTTACCCCAATTCGATGATACTTTCGTCCATCCTATTGCTCCTTTTTTTGTATTAAGAGAATTTTTTAACACTAAAAATCGAAATTTATTTTAAATTAAAATAATATATTTAGAAATAAATTTTTACTAGCAAGTCGTCGTCTGGCATTCAACGATTTTACTTGATTAAGTATATCACGAATAATTTCATTTTCATTTTCATTTTCATAATCATCAAATGTTTCAATTATTTTATTCGAATTTATACGTACTAAATAACGTGAAAAGAATAAATTCTCACGACGAAGAGTTTTATTTTCTTCACTTAAATTTATAAATAAATCATGATAATAATATTATTATTATATTTTGTAACTTACTCAATTTTATGAATATCTTCTAATAATTTTTTTTTATCAAATTTCTGATCTTGAATTAAGGGTTTTAATTCTATTGTTTGTTCAGATTTTTCTTTTTTTAATTGCTCTGATTGAGCCGATAATTCCTTCATACGATCATAGTATCGCTGTTTTATTGCTAACATCTTCGGAAGCAAAAAAAATGAAGTATATATGTAATATTTATTTTACTGATAAAATACAGGTGATATCAAACACATACGTGAGATAAGGGATCAAAAAAAAATTTTAAATGAAATTTGACAATATTACACTATTCTAATTTTTCGATAGATGTGGTTAACACGTGGGCTTGTAAAACGTTGGTGGATGCTCATAATTCTTTTCATTTCTTAGTTTAAATAACCAATCATAAAAAATTATATACAAAGCCTAATCTAAAATGTGTGTTGTGTTTTGAAAAAATGATATAAATTTTTTCTTTTTTATGGAGAAATAAATTGTTTTTTTTAATTTAGATGACTGCAACGAACGAACGTATCGCATCAAATATATTTCTTGTTGATTTTTTTATTTATTGTCCACCATTATGTGTAAAAGAAGGACAGGTATGATAAAAGAATAAGAATTATTATCATTTATTAACTCTATAAAATATTTAGGAAGGTAGAAAAATTCTTTATTATCATCCTCATGATACTGATATTGATCGGCAAATACGTACGGTTGGTTATTGTGAAGGTTTAGTTAAATTTACTGAGTAAAATATAAAACAAAATCGAAATCTTATTAAAATTAAATAATAATCTTTAATTTTTAGAACATTTGGTTTTGATGATCCATGTGAAAGTGTTCATTTTCAAAAGACTCGTCTTTTATTTCATCAAATTGAAAATGATATATGTATAGCTATGGTAAAAGAAAAAGAATTTTCGTTTTTTTGTTTTTGAAGAAGAGTATTTTAGTCGCTTAATGTTCCTGTTATTGAACGAAAAAAAGATGATAAATTTATTACGGAATATTATGATGAAAATATTAATGATCGTATTATGTTACCAATTCTAAAAATGGCATATCGATATTTTGTAGTACGTTATTTCGATTAGAATTAATACGGAAAAGGAACGATTGTATTTTTTTAGTTACAACATGGTACTATGTCAACACCAATTCGACATGGTCGTCTAGATGAATTACAAAATGTACTGAAACAACATTTTGATAAGGTAATATCTCATATTTCTGTATACATTGAATGTAGAATTAGACAAACACTTTGATTATTCTATAAATGAGTCATCAATGTTTCTTTAAATGTTAAATTTGTTACGTCTTTTATAATCATAGGTGCTATTTACTTTAAAGTTACACTAATCTTATCAATGAAAAGGGTATATTTATAAAAAATCAAGAATTTTTTCTGTAAAATCACTTCGAGTTTTACGAATATATCTTATCGATGCAAAGTATGAATGATTAATGATGTATGTATATCAGCTGAGGTTCGCGTGATCTCTAACCTTTATGGAACAATAAATTGAATGTTAAAAAAATAAAAATGGGTATATTTACTACAGTAGTTTCTTCTCTCCGATTTGCATTACTCTAAGATTAAATTAATGATATTCTCTTTTAGTTTATTCAAAATCATTTACATACAATGATTCGAGATGCAACATTGGATACATCATATTTAGGTGTACAATTTTTACCAGTTGAAAAAAAACTTTATTTAAAACTTCAATCAATATTACGACGAATTGAATTACGTTTTCCATTACTTAAAGAAACATTTTTTCTATATAAAGATCAACTTATATGGTACATTGTTTCTCATAATATATTTTCATTAGATTAATATGATTTTATTTATTTAGGAGTGGTCTCTCACAAGAAGATACTAGTCTAGTTTATTCTTTTTTTCGTCTATATTATTGGCCACATCTTAAACAATTAACAAATTCATCGACTATACAGTAAAAATTCTTGAATATAAATTCATTGAATAAATATGTATATATATACATTTAGATTTTTAACAGTTGATACAAATGCTAATCTAGCTGATGAGTTAAGAATATCAACGCAATCGAATAATGATATATCACAAGTATTTTTCTTAGGAAATTCATTAACACCATATCGAATACTTGCTATAAATATTAATTTAATAACAATATTTTGTTTATTTCATGATGGTAAATAATTGTTTCATTTTTTCTTTGTATTTTTTATTTATAATTAGATGATGATACAATTAATAATGAAAGTATGAATGCACAAATAGTTGAAATATTAAAAAAAGATTTAGATACAATGTTACCTAGTTTTGAAGAACATCTAAGAAAAAAATATCCGACGTAAGTAATTATTCAAACTAATTTTCTTATGCTTATATATGTATTTATTTATTTATAGAGCAGATAATACTGTACGAACAGTTTATTATAATAAAATGAATATGGCATATTCTTCAACTGTTGATTGGACTAGAGAACCAATTAGTTCCATGGCTGGAATTATGAATACACTTGCAGAAGATATGCAATGGTAAAGATAATTTTATGTGTGAACATGTTGTAGCTAGAAATTGACATCATGAAGAGAAAATTATAGGACGAATACTGTGAAAGATAATGAACCAACAGTATGTAACATCAAATGAGATGTATTACGTCGAGATACTATTGATCACAAATGTTTTATTTATAACATTAACTAGATCTTGTGTTTTTACTTGTTTTTACTATATAAACTAATTTAAGGTTTCATCCATCCGGTGAAATGATGGTTAAACGTGAAAATGATCCATGGATAATATCTAAACGATCGGATATGCGTGAATTATTAATTGTAGTTAATCAGAGAAATGCAAATTTAAAAGAAATCAGTGGTAAATATATTCGTTTATAAAAATCATTGTCAAACAAATCATTTTTATTATTATTATTATTTAGATAAAGTTAAGCAAATATTTGCGACGCAATTCAGTAACATTTTACTCATAGAGTGATTTTGTAATAAAAGAATTTTATTCATATTTTTCTGTCTTTCTTCTTATTAAATTAAAAAAATATTTATTAATATTGATATAAATATATTTTAGAATAAATGCAAAAAAAAACTTTTGATATGATAATACGGTTATGAATTATATTTTGCCATTTTTGTATCATATGATCAAAAATAGTAAACATGAATGGACCATTATCAGTTATTAATTATCCAATAAATGAACAAATTATTGGAAAATTTCATGTAACTCCAATTGATAAATTACAAGTAAATCATGTTGAAACTATTCCACAAACATCATCGATTGCGGATGAAACAGGATGTACATCACGTTTTCAAATGATTCGTGTTGATAGAAACTTTGGACGTGGAAGATGGAAAGTTAATGATTATGAACCACCTGAAAATATTACATCTTCAATTATACCAGTGAATACAATTGAAAATGAATCATTTAATAATTTAATAATTTCAAATGTACCTACTACAAACATTCCAAATATACCATCAGTTGTTAATGGAGATTTAGCCACAACTTCATCTACTACACTTGCGGTAAGAATATTTTCACAAGATAATGTAATTAAATGGGAATTTTCATTGACAGATGTGCAAAAAAAAACAGCTTAGTCTTTTAAATAAAAATATTCGAATTTGTCTATAAAATGTTGACAGATTATTTTAAAATTGTTATTTAGTCAGCCGCTGTTGCTGCAGCTGCAACTGCATTTCAACACCAACAACAACTAATGGCACTAAATAATACACCAACTTTAGTACCAGTAACTAACGTTCCATCTCAAGCTGGACTTGTTCATCCTTATCATTCACCAGCACTAGCTAATCGATCTTATCTCTTGTCGAATCATCATCCACAATTCGGTTATTATCCATTCTATCCATCACCTTATTCCCCTTATGCAGCTTCATGGGCAGCTGCTATGGCTGCTTCGAATCCTTATTTATCATCTACACAAATGATACCACCATCACAGCAAGCACCTCTTAATGATTTTCCTCGACCTACAGATCCAAGTATATTTTTATTATTTTTTCATTCTTCATTGCATATTGGTTTTTATTTTTAGCTTCGGATATGAATGGTGATAATACAGTTTTTTTATACGGTGATCCACATTATCATTCATCACTTGTTCTACCAACATCATCACCCTATGCAACTATACCATCCTATCATCCAATGCAACATCCACCAATCCATACACTATTACCCATTCCAGCATCTCACACTATTCCAAATAATACAAATGATACACAACAAACATCTATACTTACTACACCAAAAGGTAGTTTACAACAAACAGCATTAATAACTACACCAAAGCCTTTAGTTAATGGTATTAATAATGATCCATTAAAAACTCCACATGTCAATGGTTGTCTAGCTACATTAGCTAATACAAATAATTCAAACCCATCATTAAGCAATATTTTGAAATATGCAACAACAGGTTCACCATTAAATCTAACTCAAACAGCACAAACAGCAGCAGCTACAGCTGTTGCTGCAATGGGTTTATTAAATAATGAAAATAGTCAAAATAATGAAATAGCTAATGAAATTCTTAAAGGAATTTTAATAACACCAGCAAAAGAAAAAAGGTATGAAATAAATCAGTTTTTTTTATTTTAAAAAAAATCTATCCTTAATTTTTAAACATTAGCTTATTAGATGAAAGTACTTGTTATAGTTTAGCACGACAGCTCAGGTATTTAGTACATATATTAAAAAGATCTTTATAATGCTTAAAGAAAACGAATGAGACTATTAATCAACTTCTATCGACAATTATTATAAACATAATTTACTTTTAATTTTAGTACGGCTGGTATTGATAACAAAATTTCAGCTGCTATGGTACGTATTTTGTATTTTATTATATTCGAAAAAATATAATTTCTTATCGTAGGATCTTGTTAAAATGCATTTGTTATCGGCTGTTCGTGAAGAAGTAACAGAGTTACGACAACAAATTCAAAAACTTAATGAAAAAATCAATAGTATTGAATGTGAAAATACATTACTTCGTCAACATGTACCCAGTGAAATTTATGCTCAATATATTTCAACATTAACGAATTCATCTTCTTCAAATGATTCAACAATGATTACTACAACACCTTCAATTCCATCGTCTTTAAAACGACATTCAATATCAATAACTGATAATATACAAATACCTCTATTAACTATGAAATCTACTCCAACTTAATTTTTTGTTACAGTAAAAAAAAGCTTTGCTTTCTTCTTTTTATTGATTCAGTATGCTTTTTTCTTTTCTCTCTCTCTCTCTCTTATGTATGTATGTCCTATCAGTATATTATACGAATGAAAACTTTTTATTCAATAGATCATTAAACAAGTATGAAAACTGTTTTCACAGTACATTATCATAATCGTTAACTATTCAGAAAAAAATTAGTAAATGATTTCAAATTCTTTAGAAAATATTTCTACTAAGAAAAAACTAATCCTTAGTTTTTTGTATATATTACTAAAATGACAAAAAAAAGATGATTATGCATGTTGTGCTTATAAGTTGTTACTCCCTTGAGGTGAATAGTATTCCATACCTAGATGTTTATTCTCTACTACTCATAAAGATAATAAGATTGTCATTGTAGTGTGATATTAAAATAGAGAATGTATCATATTTCTAATGAATTAAGATTTATTTTTCTATTATTTTTGAATAATAATGAAAATTTCACTATATATTTTTTTCATTGATGTTATATTAAACAAATGATAAATAAGATAATAAATATTAATGAATTCATTAATAACATAGTATAGATTACAAAAGATCCTTTGAAAAACAAAGATTCGAGGGATTTTACTCAATCTACGTCTAAGATCATATCACCTATGTAACAAAAAAACTGTCTTTTTATATGCGAATGTTTTTTTCCCAATTACTCTCTATGTTTGTTATTAAATAAATATTTAAATAACATGTTGGTTTTTTTTCCTTCTCTATTCAGTAGATATTCGATATAATTGCATAGATATACGTATTACTCAATAATGACGTGGCAGACAATATGACGTTTCAGTTCTGTACATATTTATCGAATTGATTGCATTGGTGACGTCGTCTTTGTACTTTTTTCATTCTTTTTTTACATATTCGTAGGCGCGACAACATGTTCGATAACAAACATAAATGTATGTGGGCAGATACCATGCGTACTTGTTAAAGTCACAGCTGGGAATAATTCGGTGCTTTTGATTTATTTTTTAGACCCACAAAAAAAGATATTAGTAGTTATTACAAAAGGGAAAAAAATAGAAATTTTAATATATAATGACATGATAACCTTTTAATATTTCTGTCTAAAGGGATTGACGTGATATTTTCAAGAAAAAAACCTTTTTTTATGATTATTTTTTTCTGATATAATAACTCAATATGTTTCTTGTTTCGAGGCGTTTTTCTTTTGTCGATAGTAACAATAGTTGGATGTTTTGTATTGTTAACAACATATGTTTTTTTCCTGAATGAATGAGTACATCATAGCTTTTAAATACACTTATTTGAAACCAGCGGGGATAAAGCATTTACACATGTTCGATTTCTAAAATGCAACGTCATTGCTGAAAGGGAGTAATGACGCAAGACATTTTCTCATGTGTTTTTATATATGAGTCAAGAGTTGTCATCGTTATGCGTCATCATTGTATTCTATTCTACATAGTAAAACAACATCCATGGAAATTTCTTAGGAACATAAAAATATTCCTTTCTGTCTATGTTTCTCTCTCTCTTTTTCTCTCTCCAAACAAACAATAACCTACAATTCGTCACTACCGTCAGCAATTGATTATTACGTCGTTTATTACTTTTACAAAGGTTTTTTTTCATCTTTTCTCTCGAAAACATACCTAACTAGATTACGATTTTTTTCTTCTTTCTTTCTTCTTCTTCCTCCTTTATTTTTTTTCTCTCTATTCTATTCTATTCTATCTCGAAGGAAAAAGAACAACGAACGCAATGTATGTCATAACATACACACTATATATAAGGCGGCATATTTCAGTTATTCATTTTTATTTAGTAACAAGACATTGTCATTTACAATATATTCTCATATAGATATTTATCACAATGAAACAAGAAATTAGTGTTGCACTTGAATTACTTTCATCTTATGTTGAAAGATTTGGTTCTATTAAACAAGAAAGTATCGAACAATTTCGTACACAACTTGAAAAAGTTTTACTCGAACGTTATCAAGGACATTGGTATCCTGGTAAGATTTAGTTATATATTAAAATTATATTTCATTTTTTTTTTGTATTACAGATAAACCGATCAAAGGACAAGCATATCGTTCACTTGAATTCAATGATGAAAATGATTTTTGTGATGTTATTGTCGCTCAAGTATGCCGTAAATTAGGTTTCACACCAAGTTTACTTGGTATTCGACATCAATTAACATTATGGATTGATCCATGTGAAGTATCAGTTAGGTAGGTGTTATAACAATAATTAAAACTCGTACAAGTTTTTTTTCCCTTCTCTTCTTCTTCGCATGATAAAAAGAAAAGACGTGGGCAGTGTTAGTGCGCAATGTAATAATCACGAGGATGATGTCATTACTCTGTAATAACGATGACGAAAGAACGGAAAAGAATGAGTTGTTTTTGTCTTTCATGACAACGACAGAAATTTAAATGAGTACTAATCATAATGAGACAATGACCTTTTTGACCTTATTTTTTTTTAATGACGTAATTTATTTGATGTTATTTTAATTATTTAGATTGGGAAATCATGTTCACCCAAAAGATAATCAACAATTAATTGTTGCTCGATTTGATAAAGAAGGAAATGAATTGATACATAATGATCTCGATACATTATTTTCTGACTGTCGTGTACCTATGGTTAATACATCACGTGTATCACCAGTTAATTCATCACCATGTGATTCAGCTAGTTGTTCAGGTGCATCAACACCACAACGTACATCATCTCCTTTTCCCGTAATGCAACCATCTATGTATTACAATGCACCATTATTTACACCACCAAGAGCATTATCACCACAAGCTCCAATTTTTCAAATGTCCTCATCATCTCCAATAAATGTTCCATTAAAACCACATCCATTAGAAACAAGTATTAATAATTTGGATGAAAATTCACCAATCGAAGGAAATAATAGTCAACCTGATCGTTCGGATACACCACATTCAATGCTTAGTACAACATCAAATGAATCATCCGACAGTGGTTATTGTGGTTATGTTGAAAGTTATCCATGTAAATATTCTATTAATTTGAAAAAAAAAATAATAATAAATTTTTTTATTTTCTTTTAGATTATTATAAACTTAATCGTTTATATAAAGCATTAGCATTACAAAAACATTCCTCAAGTCCAAATCCAACCGGTAAAAATTCACATCATCGTCGTATGCCAAATCAAATGTATCAACAACGACAAAATTACATTCCATCATTTGCTCCTAGTTCACCACCAACACCAACACCAATGAATATTGATCGTGTAGCTCCTTATTTTACCCAACAAACATTCCTTCAAATACCAACGACTGCTACTGGTAGTCGAAAATCTAAGTATTAAAAATATTGTACATTTTGTTTGAGTAGACTAGCTGTTTCTTTTTCTCAGTTGATTGTTAGATGACATATTAATGATCCTATTCTGTAATGCAATTTAATGTAAAAATGAGAAAAATAAGCCGCTGACATTCATGTTCAAATGTACAGACTTTATAATATTGTAGTTGTTGAAAAATTCCTTTTAGTTTTTTGTCGTTCATCCAACGTAGAATTGTTGGTTTTTATTTTTATTTTCTTTGTAAACAAGAAAAACAAAATCTTTATAAACATATATATTTTTACTGTTGTTATTTATTTCTGTTAATGTTGTGCGTCTCTTTGAGCCTTTCAACTTCAGATAAGATATGGGAGTTTGTGTATGTATATTTATTTTTCTCTTTTATTTGCCTCTCTCCCATTCTTATTTTTTTCTTCTTCTTCTGCTTAAAAGTACGATGAATGTATTCCACTTCTCTGCTGGTCAGAAACAGTGTATGATAACAGCATGTTCGATATTATTTATAGTTTAGTTAAATGTATATGCGCATACCTTTATTATAACACAATCAATTGTTTGTTTGTTTTATTTTTATGTGATGAAAAAAAATCATGTGTGACATATGAAAGATATTTGTAATACGTCTAGTTGCCGGTGACCAGCATTTGTTGTTTTTTTTTGTTATGCGCTTGTATATTTATTTTTTTTGACAGAATATAAAGTGAACAGTATTTAAATGGACAAAAAATAAAAATCAGAATTATTTTAATACATGTGACCTGATAAAAATATGTGTAAATATTATTTTTAGAATGTATATTTGTCCTTCGTTTTCAGGAACATTAGGATAAATAGAAAAATATTTACTTTAAAACAAAGTCATATACTCATTTGATTGATAGAAGATTATGAAGAAATAAATTGTGTATTAAAAATAACACACGTTTCATATCATTTAAACATCTGTTTTATAATTCACACGTTTTAGTTCTTCTTATCAGGACATTCAATAAATGCCGTACTTAAAGTGTTACATTTATTATAAATGACAAAAAAAAACGACATGTAAAAAATTAAATTTTGTATTGTTTCTCAATTCGTATTTTGATTATGAATTAAGAGTGTGTCTTTATAATTATTTACGCTTAATAATATGATGGATTGATTACATGTTATATAAGTAAATTATATGCAATGAAAATATGTTGTTGTTGTTTTTTTTTTAATTTTTATTCAAACGATTGCCTGATAAATATTTATTTAAATCAAATGTGACAGCTTACATGATATGAATTTCAGAATAAATCAGACTATTTGATGAAAGATAAAATGACACATAGACATATTTTTTTTCCCGGAATTATGAAATACATGATTACTTATTGTAATTTCATCATTTTCTTACTATTGAGATTAGTATGATGCAAGATTTGTTAATAACTGAAAAAAAAGCAATTAAATTTTTTATTCATTTATTTCAAAATTCTTTCTCGTTCCTTAATAAAATTCAATAATGATTAAAATATTTGATCAAGGACAGATGGTCACATGTCATATAAAAATAACAAAAAAAGACTAGGATTGAACGATATAATTTCAAACAAAAAAAAATATTCATTCAACAATTTTTAGAAAAAATAAAATATACTGAATTGTAGAATGTGATGTATTGTTAGTAGCGTCATCTATCCGATGATACAAATATTAGTTTTCCAGACAAATAATTAACCAATCGATATATACTCTAAACAACTTCTCTTATATCGAATAACATATTTACGTATTTCTGAATCGAGAAATTCTCTTAGTATGAATCCATCAATTGATCATATCGAACGATTACGTATAATCTATGGTAAATTAAAAAAAGTTCGTTTTGGTGGTGTTGTTACAAGTCGTAAACCAAAATATGCTGAAGCTGCAGTTGATTTTCAATCATTATCACGTCAATTTCGTCAAGAAAATTGTCTTGAATATGCTGGTCTATGTTTAATTCAATCATCACGTTGTTTTTCCGAATTAAAATCATCTACAAGTGAATTACAAATGTTACTTGAAGCTGCTTCAATATTTATAGAAATTGAATTACAAATACATGATTCAAATACATTATCCTATCATGAAAATTTATCATTAGCATTATCAACATACCAACTAGCACAAAAAAATTTACGTGAACAAAATGAACGTTATTTAGCTGGTTTAATAACATTTCAAGTTGCTTTACATTTAGAAAATTTAGAAAAATTTCAAGAAAGTGAACGCCTATTTTCCATGGCATTAGATTCATTCCAAGATTTATTATCTATACAAATATGTATCTATCAACGTTTAATTAATATACGTATTGATAATGAAAAATATAATTTAGCATTACAAACAACAACTGTTCTTATTGATCGTTTAACAAAAACATCAATAAATGATATTAGTTATCGTCGTTTAGTAGCATCCTATGATATTATACGTCTTTTTCTTTTATTAATACTTCAACCACATCCTCAACGTCTTCGTGCTGATTATGCTAAAACATTAGATGCATATACATGGGAATCCTATGAAAAATTAAATATTCCAATGTCTTATTTAGATGAAACACTCTTTTATTTATTGCAGTCAATAACATTAGCTGTACAAGCAAGAGAGTTAAAACATATTGAACAATTAGAATATGATTTAAATCAACAAACACAAATTAATTCAAGACATATACATTTATTTCATATATTAAAACAAAAAATGTCAGGACATTTTATTGATACATTTAAATTTGATCAACAAACAGGAGCATCAAATGATATCACAGATTATAGATAAATAAATTTTATGATTTCTTTTTCTTGTCCGTTCGATTTAATTTCCTTCTTTTTTTTCTTCGTGTCAATTAGTAATGTTGTCTTATTGTAGATTATGAAGAATAATTCTCATTAAATTATTCCGGTGATTATTTATTGATATCATATGGCTTCATTAACAGGTATAAAAAAAAGAATTGTATCGAAAAGTTTTTCTTTTAAAATATTCTATTTAATTTTAGTACATCCAAATCTCATCTGTCAATTTTGTTTTGATCAATTTATCGATCGTGCTTCCATGATATCTCATTTCCCATCTTGTCATATTATAAATTCGACGAAAAAAACTAATGAAACAATTCGTTTACCACGACTTAATAAAAATGATCATGCCGTACTTCAGAGTAAATATTTCCTCTTCTGTATTAGAGATGAGATCGGTTCGGTTCGATTTGAGACACACAACTCGTTAGATTGTTATAAGTTTCAGCTCGGTTCGAGAAAAACACGAACTAATCCCATCTCTGTCCTGTATTTAAGTTTATTTATTTAAAACGTTTTTCTTTTAGTGTTAAAATTACATCGATCAAATGATAAATTTATTTCTACTAAACGTAAAGATAAAACAAATACATATTTACAAATACCATTATCAATCGGATATATATCATCTTCTTCCAAACAATCATCATTCGATGATTCTATTTGTAATTCTTTTGAAAGAAATGATAATCAATCTGACCAAGAAATCTTATCAAATACATTAAATAATAAATTTTCAACATCCTATCATTTATATAAATATTCTCGGCGTGAACAAAAAAATTTCTATGCAAGTGTTAAACGAGCTCGATTAAAAAAACAATCTTATTCATCAATAAAAAAATCTCAAAAAAATTCATTAATATTTAATCAAAAAAATTTTCATATTAAATTACCAACACAAATAACATCACGACAACGATTAAATACAAATTCAAATAATTCTTATCCATTAATATTTGATCCAAATTTTAATTCATTAGTACAAATATCAACACATAAAAATTTTCATAATTATTTTTCTGATATAAATATTTATTTTCATTTATTGCATTCAATAGCTAGTCAAGAATTTCAAATAATTGTAAATAGTAATGATAATCAACATCATACATCTTATACAGCATTTTCATTTATTAATATTCTTCGACAAACAATGACAGATTATTCAATAAATTTACAAAAAACTTTGAAAAGAAATTATTTTCAAACATTTCAACATAATAATGAACAACAAATTTTAACACCATTAAAAATTCGACGATGTGATCAATCAACAACAATACCATGTATTCATGTTGAAGATAATCATGAACATTTACAAACAGATCATATTTTACCAAAAACAACAAGAACAGTTATTCAGAATGAAAAAAATAATCCGGTGCAATTAGATTTAACTCTTAGTGATCATCAACAGTCAACTAAGTAATTTATTTGATTAAGAAAAATATTCGTTTCTTCATTAATTTCTTTATTTTAGTCAATTGCATACAGAACACCGTAATGTTTCTGTTATGCCAATCGTCGAAAAACGAAAACCCAATAGAAGTCCAAGTCCTATTTTACTTAAAGTACCAAAAATTGAATCAACAACAATGGATGAGTCAAATCTTCCTATGACAAGACCACGTATTCGAATAATGAATGAATCAAATAATAACAAGAAGCAACCAGTATCTCGTAGAAAAATCTCGAATTCAATGAATAAACTTGATGAAAATTCTATTATAAAATCAACACGAATGAATACACGTAAAAGTTCAGTAAAAAATGAAGTAATTACTGAAATTTTTCCGCCTTTTCAAAGTATACCGGTTATTTTAACAGCAAAAGAAATATCAAAAGAATGGTTAACACATACTGTTTTTTATCGTTGTCATGCTTGTTCACATGAAGAATTTTTTAATGTTTTATCACGTGAATGTATGATTTTACATATCTCATCGAAACATGGCAACATGGAAGAAAATTTTAAACAACGCCTATCACATTTTCTTAATAATAAAGGACGTTCATTAAAAATTTTTCAACATTATCTCAAATGGCAACAACCATGGTCCGATAAAGAAATTGAACAAATATTTAAATTATCGAACAAATAAGAAAGATTTAAGAAATGATCTGATCCCGCTTTTTTTTACTAGATGTTTATTTTGTGCTTTGTCAGTGCAATTGTTCTCATTCCTAGTTGTTTTTCTGTTTGTTCGTGTCGTTTTCCTAAGCAGTTTTGCCTTTTGTTTTCATCTCTTCCTTTATATATACATATATATATATATACACATTTAAAATAAAAATATATAACTCTGTGAGATAAATAATATACCTATACCACTTATTGAAGATATTTTGGAACGAGGCTGCAAGTGTAGATGTAATATAAAAGGGGTGGGTGTGGGTGTGAGTTCTGGTCTTTTCTACTTCTTCCACCTACACCCACCAATATCAAACAAGTATTAGGTTGTAAATTAAGTTTTTCACAAAATTTTCATATGTCAAGTTTATTAGTAGATGAGTACGACAAACAGTTTTCTCTAATAAACTGACTTGCCAAAATGAATCGTTAAGTTAGAATACTGCGCAAGAATTACTTTTTAGACTACACCCAAAATATAGGCAAAAATCGATTTTTTGGTTTTTTGCATACCTCTCCCTTAAGTGTCGACGAATGATGAACTTATCTTCGCATGAAACGAAGTAAAAAAGAAAGAAAATTTGAATTGACTAATAATTGGAACTTAATGTAGTGATTCAATTCTAACTTATCTCTTGTATATCATAACTAATACGAAATTAAACTGACATGATTATCTCGGTGAATTATACTTGCTACTCACATATACTTCGTGAGATGTTTAACTCGACTTATAGCATAAATGAACACTGAGAAGATTGTTCTTATTTCGAAAATAAATAATAGAACAAACTATCAATATATTGATTTATATCATTTATACACACATTTGTATCAACGATAAATGGACTCACAAAACTTTTCTTTTTTTCTTTCCTTAAGTTTACAGTAAAGTCTTCATTTGTCACATTTATATAAATGAGAAATCAATAAAAAAAAACCTACAGTAAAGTGTTCATTTACTATATTTAAATAAATGAGAAGTCAACACCATACTCGCATTCACACTATCAAGTAAGATTGAAATAAAATATATTTTTTTTGAATAGCTATTCTCTGTCGCTACCTTATGTGAACATTAGACACTTGCCGTACCGAACAAAACTGTTAATTGTTGTTTTTCTCTTAAGAAAAATATCTTATTTTTTAGACACTGTATTTATTAGAAAATGAGCAAAACGATATTTTTAGGATGTGTGCGCGAGTATGAATGAGAAATTTTAGAATAATGATACGCATATTCATCCATACCCTTGATAATGTTTGCATCATTGCTTTTAATATATAATGACTAGCAGAATTAATCTGATGTTACTCGGGAAGTTCTTATGTTAAAGATATTGGTATGAGTTTCTTCTACACACACACTCTCTAATCCCACTTTTCTTTTACACTGTGAAGCCATGATAGATCGGGTGTGGGTGTGGGTGTAGATAAACAATAAACACCCACAACCACAACTACTTTCAAGTCATTGTCTAAGCTCATTCTTGATACAGTATGTGTGTTTATATTTTTGATGCAAGAAAACAATTATTAAATTCAATTCAAAAAATAATTGTGTTTCATTCACTTGTTTTCTGTATGTTGCATATTGAATTGTAAAAGGATTTGGTTGTTTGTCTACCTAATTACTTATTTTACTGACGATGAAACAAAGTGAAGCACTTTTTGATGTTCCACAGATGGTTGTTTGCGGTAGGATGGCTATAATAGAACAGATCCTGCTAATCAGCTTTTGATTGTTCCAAATGATCTCAGTGACGTTTTTCTGTCGAATTTTATTCTTCGCTGCGATTGAGAGAGAGCTAATGAAGTTTATGAATTTATAAATGCGAAATAAAAAATGATATTATCCGTATTTGATATTTATCATTATTTTGAAAAGATGCACCGTTTGATGTTCTTCAAAAAAGATTTAATTAATTCATTAAATATAATCTTATTCATTTTGTTAACAATAATCGATGAAAATGTTAAGATACAAGTCTCATCACAACTTTTCAAAATGATCATTTTTGAAAACTATCTCAGACACTAATTTTGAAATGTTCAGCAAGTTTGAATTCTATTTTATCGTTCGTCCGACATTTTATCTAATCATTGTTAGTTTATATATAATATTTTTAGGGATGAAAACTACACTGACATAAAATTTTATTAAATAGCAAGCTGAGAAATTTGTATGAAAACTTTTTTTAGAAACAACACTTTCGAAACTTGTGAGATTTCACCTTCACGCCAAGTGTTCTTCATTTTTCAACTGGTTAGAAATAATATAACCATAAACTTATCAAATCTATCTGCCATTATTTGATAGTCTGTGCGAAAGACGGAAAATATTGTTCTATTTGATCGACATTTTTCGATTAGTTGTTAAACCGATGCGAATACCATAGTAATAGAACAGAAAAGTTCTGAAATAATGAAGAAACATTAATTATTGATGAATGAGTCGACGCCATCGTCTGAATGATTCTTGAAATGTTTTTCTGTACAATGCTGAAGGAAGAACAAAAACAAGAAAGATAAGCATCGATGGAGTAAATGAGATGAAATAACCAAAAATAAATAATAATCGATGATTAGATGGATTGACACATTCTGATAACATCGACATAATCAAACGGGGTAAGGATAGAATCAGAAGAATGATCGGGCTGATTAATAATTGTTTGTGTTCACTAAGTTGATTATAGACATGTTCTTTTAAAGTTCGTCTTGTTTGAGCTGCTGATCGTTGTCGGGCTGATCCGAATACGATGAATAAAGCAGAACAAAGATTGATCATACATGGAGCGACAAGATGAAAAAATAGGATGATTGTATTGTATTGTTGAACAGGAGGAGAGTAACGAGTTACACACCATCTATCGATATCTACTTGGTTCGTATCTGTCTTTATCTCGTACAATTCTCGATGTAAAGGTTCGTGAATGATTGAACCCATGATACAGATTGGTAGAATGAGCATTATCCATCGAGCAATCTGTTGACTTTTCTGTTTATTGAAGTTGATTCCTTTGAAAACGAGAATCGCTCTTTCAATGGCTACACAAGCATTGAGCCAAGCATCCAAATATAGACAAAGCTTGAGAAGAAATTCGATCGATATACAACCTCCTCGAACAACAGAAACATGAATCGATAAATCCATTTGAGTGAGAACAACAAACCAAAACTTCACTGTAAACATGCTGATTGCAAGTAAAGAAGTAATTGATGATGCCAAGAGATAGATGCCACATCCAACTTGTCGTAAATCTTTATTTTTAAATGTTAATATAGATAAAATACTATTGATAAAACCTCCAACAAACATAATCATCGTTAAAGCGGCATTGATTTTTACCAATACTGTTTGATCAGCCAGTGTCATGTTCGATCGAATTTCGTCACGTAAAATATCATCGAGAATGATACCAATACTTTTTTTGTAGAACTGACATTTTTGACCAATGAAACAACTGGTCTGAATTTTAGCTGAAGAAAGAAATACATGGTCATCAAGAAATGAAATCAATCTTTCTCAACTTAACAAAGCTATTCAGCGTCAGTTTATAAGTAGCAATAGTTTATGAAATTCATTTAACATGGTATGTGCTGCCGAGATTAAATTTCTATATTCCTATTATTTGTTCAATATCTCATGATGATTTTACTCAGTTTTATAATGTTTCTGCATATGAACTCGATAAACTTTCAAAGATTGCAGGGCAATAAAATCTCAGATAGTGTGAAATCACTAAAGAATAGGTCGTCTTGAATATATCGTTAATCCGAGAAGAAAAGTTGTATTAATTTACTCAACTGATTGAATTCGTACAATCCAAATCTGACCACGACTAAGCTACACTAGCGAGACTTAACCTTATCTGATTGGAAAAAATTGGTCATTTTTAAAAGAAAGAGTTTCGATGTGATTCTATTTTTGGACAATAATTTGATTGAATTATATGATCTAATTGAAATTCTCA